TTGCATAAATTTGTTATCGTACGTGACATTGCTGTTTTTGAGACAAGAATTTGCAAAAAATTTTTGTGTGTTTGCATTTCATGTGAATATTTGATCCCTTAATTATTGTGGACCCATCTGACTTGAACATACATATTACTGTAATAAATATATACATGTACAATTGGATAATTTGGGAATAAGATCTTAAAACTTAATTTGGCCTAGCTCATTTTACAATCACCTTCTCTCTGGGGCTCTGTGGTTTTCTGCATGGAGGTAGCCTGACAGGCTAGCTAAATTGCCCTATGCTATGCTCGGGAGTCATGATTTGAATAAATCTACAACAATGTAATGTAGCTTTCACATAAGTTTCAAATTTTCTGGCCAAGTGATTCTTGAGAAAAAAAATATTTGAATGATGCCATGAAATTTTCTCCACCTGGAAGAGGGCATGGCCCAATCATTTGAACAAACTTGAATCCCCTTTACCCAAGGATGCTTTGGGGCAAGTTTGTTTGAAATTGGCCCAGTGGTTCTGGAGAAGAAGATGAAATTGTGAAAACTGCAACAATAACAATTAATTTCTGACAGACAAATTTTGATCAGAAAAGTTTACTTTATACTTCAGCTCAGGTGAGCTAAAAACTGTGAATATTTATTCTCCTATTCTTGAAAACAAACCACAAGATGATAATCTTTACTTGAATGATTTTAGATTGTGGAAGTAAAATAACATTATTTTGCGGTTTATATAAAGACAAAATACTCTCAAAGAAAGATAACTCTTATTGAATGAGAGACTTGTATTGAAGTTTTTTAAAATTTTACCAGTAAATGTCATTTTTAAAATCCTACAATTCTTGACCTTCAACACATAATCTATGAACATTCTGATAAACTTAATACTACACAAACATTTTTGGGTCACAATTCTATAAATGTGTTTCTCTCTTGATACAGAATCCGAAAGAAATAAATTTTATGCGTGCAGAGATAATATCAGTAATAACTCTTCACACCTCCCAAAGTAATATAAAGAGCCATAAAATTTAAACAACAGGTATAAAACACAGGGTAAATAAAGATTAAAATTCTTATTTCAACAAATGTAATCTATATAAGTAAGTCAAAGTTTCATATCAAATAATGATCAATGAGATGCGCTTTACAGTGTTCTGAGTGACACTTAAAAATGTCACATAAAAGCTTGACTGCAGCTATGGTATTCATTACTAGGCATATGATTTACGCAAGTTTTGTCTGAGATAGGCCTTAAAGTAACTGGAAGTTAACTTACTCCAAAAAAATGAAATTAGCCACTCATTCACTAAATATAGGTCAGATGCAGCAGGGTTTATTTCCACCAGACATGTGATCCTGAAGTTTCAAATTTATAGGCACCAACAGCTGAACTAACGTTAGCCCTCAACCTCTATAAATTTTTTTTACCCTTTGAATACAGCTGGGGCAAAAGAAGTAAAGAAAAATATATGTGTATGTTTCGTGGAATACACAAATTATCTACAGTATAGTACTAGTACCGTATATACTCGCCTATAAGTCGGTTTTTTGAGAGTTAAACTTTGGTTCAAAACTCTTTATCTGACTTATATGCGAGTTATAAAAAGATTGGTATTTAAACAGGTCAATCCGTCTAATATAAGCTTTAAAAAATGCAACCGACTTATAGGCGGACCGACTTATAATCAAGTATATACGGTAAATGGATAAGATGGAGATTTACAAACAATAGGACCATGCAGTTTTGGTCATTTTCATTGTTTGGGAATTTTTAAAGAAACAAGTAAATTCAGAGAATTGTAGCTCCCTGCTTTCAGTGTCTTATTGGGTGGGATGCAATTAATTATCATTATGGCAAATTGTTACTGTCTTGTCTGTGTATCCTGCCTTGTCTATCCATCATATAAAAAAGATTTAAATTTTTGAATTGATAAAAGTTACAGGAAGATTAAAATTTCTCAAAACTGTATCGAACTTCAAAGTCATGGAGTCAAACATCATAATCAGTCCTGAAGGTCTTATCACAAGTAATACATGTACAATGTCATGTGAAAAAAATATGAAAGCCCTGTCTCTTCTGAAGCAAAAGTTAAATTTTTTGATAAGTAGGTCAATTTTCTAGGTAAAACTTTGAAGTCATAAATGATAGCTCTTTCTGAAAGGTGTTGTCACAGGTAATGTACATGTACATGTAAAATATAAAAGCCCTATCTCCTCTCATTCAAAAGTTATTACCATGTTAAAAAATTTTGAAAAGTGCTGAAGGTTAAATTTAAAGGTTAAGGTCACAAAGTCAAACACCATAGTGCATTCAGAAAGGTCTTGTTATAGGTAATGCACATGTATGTCAAATATGAATGCCTGATCTTTTCTCATTCAAAAGTTATCAACAGTGTTTAAAATTTTTGAAAAGTAGGTCAAGCTTAGAGGTCATGGGTTCGAAAATCATAGTATATTTGGAGAGGTCTTGACATAGCTAAAGCACAATATGAACACCTTATCCTCTCTCATTGAAAAGTTATAACCTATGTTTAAATTTTTGAAAAGTAGGTCAAACTTCAAGGTGGGGTAAAAAATCATAAAAATTTGTAAAGGTCTTGTCACAGTTAATGCACATGTCAAATATGAATCTTCTCTCATTAAATAGTTATCTCCCATCTTAAATTTTTTGAAAAGAAGGTAAAATATTCAGGTCAAGGTCATGGGGTCAAAAATCAGTACATTTTGGAAGGTTTTGTCAAAGGTTATGTACATGTGAATATATAAGTCCCATCTTTTCTCATTCAAAAGTCATGACTGAGGTTAAGGTATGTCAATCCTGACATAGGTTAAATAACAAGGATTTTTTTTTTTAAGTTTATGAAAACTGGGGGTTCAGTGTGCATCTTACTGAGCAAAAGTACAATTAACTCCACTTTTTGCATTTAAATTGTAGCTTTTAGGTTAATCGCTTTATCCTCCATTTTATTTTACCAGATGTAATCATGGCAATAAATATAATATTATTCTGTACAAAATAATTTGAATAATATTTATTGCTTAAGAAATACTGCAAATTAATGTGCATTAATTATTGTGTGACCTTTTTGCACCTATAAAATATCATTTTGGGGGCATTAAATATCTAAACAGGCAGTAAAATATTTTCTTGTATCAAGCTTTTTATGAGCTGAGTGTTGATCAGTTGAAAGAATAGTACAATTTAAAATAAGAGCACTTTGGTTAGAGAAAAGCAGAATCAGTTTCATAGTATTAAAAAGTTTAAATGTATTCGTGGTCTCACCCTACCTGGGAGGGGCAGGGGAGGGGGACATTATCTGAACAAACTTTAATCTACACTAGCTAAAGATGCTTCCAAATTTATATGACTAATCATGGGTTTTAAAAATATTCATAGACTTCTCTTACATATTCATATATAAAACTTTGATCTTCTACTGTGGCCCTGCCCTACCAATTATAATCAGATATAGTTTTGTATATAAAAAGTAGACTTTTACAAGTGCTTCAAATTATTTCTTTAACATGAATATATGAAATATATAATATATTGTTTAATTTCTTTGTTGTTTTGATTCTTTTACACTTTCTATATATGCACCTTTTGGTTCTTAATCACCTGTATCAGGTGCAAACGCCATTTTCTTTCATTGTGAAGAAATAAATCTAAAACCAGGAACAGTAATTCTGGAAAGCATTTTATAAGAAGTACCTTTTTCTTATTTGCAAATGTTAAGCAAAATAACTATTCCATAAGCACTTTGTCTTGTACTTATTTGTATAAACAAGGTGATGTATAAAAACAGTGATATTATGCCACAAGCATTTTGCCACAAGTACTGTACAGTCAAACCTTGTTATCAGGGACTTGATGGGAGCAAGAAAAAACTTTTAAGATATCCGAGGATTTGAGATACTGAGGGTAAAATACTTTCAGAATAAGTGGTTGGGACTTCCAAATCACTTCGACATACCCAAGGTATTCTAGATATCAGTGTTCGAAACGTCAAAGTTCAACTGTACTTAACTTGTACTTCCCGAAGATGGCACTGTGACTGTAAGCCAAAAGCACTCTGACATGTACTAACTTAAATTAGCACCTGGAGTATCAATGCCATATTAGCATTACTTTGTACTTACTTGAGTTGTCACATGGACTACATGCATGTGTGCCTCATTAGCACATCACTTCATGCTTATACCCAAACTACTTTAGTTGGCACAGGGACTATGCCTTATTATCACATTCCTTCATATCTACTGGTATGTGAGTTTGCAAGTGGACTAGCCACAAGCACATTATTTTGTACCTACCTGAGTTGGCACATGGCTCAAGCCACAAGCACATTCTAACTTTGTACTTGAGTTGGCAGAGGGACTCATGCCACAACAGTTGGCACAAGGACTATGGCACAAGCACATTCTAACTTTGTACGTCTGCCACTCAACTTTGTACTTACTTGAGTTGGCAGATGGACTTATGCCAAAAGCTTTCTTGAGTTGGCATATAACCTTGTACTTACTTGGCTTGGCATAGGGACCATACCATAGACTGTACTTACTTGAGTTGGCAGAGGGACTATGCCACAAGCATATATTCTTTTACTTACTTGAGTTGGCAGAGAGACTATGCCACAAGCGTATAACCTTGTACTTACTTGAGTTGGCAGAGAGACTATGCCACAAGCATATAACCTTGTACTTACTTGAGTTGGCAGAGGGACTATGCCACAAGCATATAACCTTGTACTTACTCAAGTTGGCAGAGGGATTATGCTACAAGCATATATCCTTGTACTTACTTGAGTTGGCAGAGAGACTATGCCACAAGCATATAACCTTGTACTTACTCAAGTTGGCAGAGGGACTATGCTACAAGCATATATCCTTGTACTTACTCAAGTTGGCAGAGGGACTATGCTACAAGCATACATTTATAACGTACTTACTTGAGTTGGCAGAGGGACTATGCCACAAGCGTATAACCTTGTACTTACTTGAGTTGGCACAGGCACTATAAATGGGAGCTGTAAAGGCTGCAGGGCCTGCACAAATTGATGTTTGGAGTTCTGCTCAAGACGAGATCTCTCTTTCATTCTTTTATATCTAAAAATTTTGTAAAGATTGTTTTGAAATATCATCTTATTGATGAATGTCTCAATTTGGCAGGAAATAAAAGTAAACATTTTTCTTAATTTTTGCTTTTTTACATGGATAACCATATATTTTTGATATATATATATATATTGCATATATACAGTAGCAATTAGGTTGTGAAAATCAAAGTGTTTGTGTTTTAATGTAATTTATAGAAGCTTTAGTATATTATTTCTGTAGTCAAGTTTAAAGAGATAAAGAAAACATAATTTCCTCTCTAATGGACAACATTCAGACTACCTTAAAAACTCAAGACAATTGAATATCAGCAAGAACAAGACTGTATGAAGAATGGAAATTGGTAGTTTACTTTAATTACAATAAAATTTTCATGTAAACAAAGTTGATTAGCATATATCAAAACAGTTAATATACTGAAAGTGATACAATTATGCAGTATTCAAAAGAAATACATGATTGGAAAAAACTACAGTGTACATTAAAACGTATGAGCCAGATCATATAATACACAATGCATTTTTTTTTTTTATTTCAAAAGGGTATCAGAAGAAAGAAAACCTACAAAAGGTTAAAATTTGCAAGACAAGTGTTGGTAACACATGCAATTAAATATGGGAAGTCTCCTGGATAGTATCAGCAAATAAACAAAGGACATGCACTTTGTGGGTATAAATGTGAGCATCATTTGAGTGGATAAAAATAGATTTAACTCATGAAAACACTATCATGCAGGGCCAGTCTACACTACAATTTTTATCCTGAACAACTTGGGTAATTTTAGTTAAGTATAAACAACAATTCAATGTAACTCATTTAGATTCTTCTGACTCAGATTTTAATTTATCAAACACATCAAGCACATCAAAAATCTCACCTGACACCCAGGGTTAAAAACACACAATGAACCACTGTGTAAAAACTAAGGTTAATATGGATTAAGTTGGTCTACTTTAATGTGCATCTGTTAACAACCTTAAAATGCCTCTTAATTCTTCCAGACCACATTTATTTCCAAAACTTTATACATTGTATACGTATTCCATTTTGACGTTCAAACAATGACCAAAAACTATATAAAATTAATCCTTTTATGCATATCTAATCATTTACTCAACTGACAGGATACATGTATCTAATTTCTTTTTTTTTTCTTAAAAAACCTTTTATGCAAATAAGTAAGCAGAAATTTTATGTCTATTTAGTACATGTTGAAAAAATATCTGGCACTGGAAGCCATTTAAAGTATTTGTGTTGTATAATTCAATTTTATGAGTTGCAATTATCACTTTCCTTAATTTTCAAACTTTAGATCATTCCAATCAATTTCAAGTGAGGAAATTGTCTAAAACTATTCTGAATTTCAAACCCATTAAAATTAGCAACCCATCTTACATGACATTTGGATTTAATTTTTAAAATGTTTTACTTCATATTAAGATGTCCGACTCAAAAGTAAATGTTATTAGATGATATTCAGATAATAACCAGTGAAGTGAAAATGATTAGGTCAAATTCAATAACAAGTTCTTCTTGACCAAACTCCACTTTTTGTAACATGAAAGGGGGAGGACAGAGAAAAGGATTACAAAATATAGCAAAGAATTCTTTGAGATATACTATATACAGTTAATCTTTGTTATCTCGAACACCGATATCTCAAATAACAGGGATATGTCAAAGTGATTTGGCATTCCCAACCACCTCTTCTTTATGTTATTTAACAGAGTTGTGGAAAACTGCCGGTCATGCCGGCAAAACCGATTAAAAATGCATGTGACCGGTAAAAACGCCATCATGTCAGTCCAAATTAATGACCCCCTTTTTTTTGGTCAAGTTTTGTTTTTGTTTTTCCTGTTATCATCTCCGCACTTTCCAGCTTAATTACCATAGAAAATATAAAATGCAATTGCACAATACTTTTTCTTTTTACATGAAACCAGGTAAAAAACATGAAGTGATGGATGAAGACATAGCTAAATATGAAAAATCTCAACAGAAAGAATTCAAACACAGATGGGGCAAGCGGTAAATCTAGTACTCCCAACTGTCCCGGATTTCAGTTTTTTTATTGATCGTGTTGATATCTTCATTATCGATGCACAGAATTTCTTCAAAGTCCTAAGATACATTTTATAGGTTGATATAAATTCCCTAATGCATAAATGTTTCAACAAAATTACATATACTAGCTATGCTGAATAAGCATTGTCACCTGCCCAAAAGAGGAAAATCTAGTACTGAGTTATAAATGCAAAAACCAATCAAAAGCCTGAAAGGCTTCAATGGCGTCGAACATGAAAAACAATGCATGTCAAAAGATTTTTTTGAATTTGAAGAAAGCAAAAGTCAATTGTATGATTCAGGTAGCCTAACAAAATTTTTTGTAAACAAAATGTCAATTATTATAGTCTTAGGCCTCTATGTCATGATCCGAATAGAGCTTGGTTTGAATTGACCAGACACCGTTCGACATATCAGACAGGCAGGCCAGTCTAAAATTAATTCTGAATATCAAACTCATCTCTTTCCAGTCAGTTGAAGAACTATAAGAATTTATATATTATTTTATAAAATTTATATAATATTTTCCTAATTGCAAATTTCTAAGCGCTGTTTTAGTAATTGCATCTACACAACCTAACTCTGCTCTGTTACGATTACGATCGAGCGTGGTAAATGGGTATACTGGGAAATGGATAAATACAGTAAAACAGGTCAATAAATTCGGTTTTAATGATAAAATTGGTCATTAGATTGTAAAAGCAAGTTCAGATTTTGAAATTCATTATTTTAGGTCTTCTAGTATTCGTGTTTATGTAATTTTGTGAATGTTTCACTGCCTATTGGGTTGTTATTGTTCCGAAACCTTATTCATGTCATTCGACGCGCCCTTTCTTTAGAAATTCATCCGCAACAACTATCACGTTTTTCTTTTGTGAAAATAAACATAGTATCTTTGTTTTGTAACAGAATTAATTGTAGGTATAATTGATGCAATTTTCTTTTCAAGTTATTATCAATTGTGAGCATTTACAAAGAAATTGATTTATAGCTACATGTATTATATTTTCTTTTGCGGATGCATCGACTGACACATTCAGTCACGCAAAATTCGATGGCATTTTTGATCGGGGCCATAACTAGATGACGTTCGAGCTCTAGAGCTCGACGCCATAAAAATGGATAAAGACTATGAAATAAAAGGATGTGTAATAAAGTACTGGTAAATAAATTTTATGTATTTTTTTGTTGTTGTATTTTTGCGACTTAAGATTTCGGACTGGCTAAAATCACTTAGGACTGGCATATTGTGTGTCCTTGCCAGTCCGAATGACTGGTTATTTCAAAAAGTTTTCCACAACTCTGATTTAAACCTTATTATCTCGAATCCTCAGATATCTCAAAGTTTCAACTTGAGTTTGAGATAATGAGATTTGACTGTATAACAATTATTTTTCACAATTTCATACATATACCCTGCATTCTTAATAAGCCAAGGAGTATGGTTTTTTTCTTTTTGTTTATAAACAGAAATTAGTAAAATTAAGTTTTTCAAAAGAATGAAATAAGAAATATTAAACAAGGCCAACTTTAAAATAATGTTTGCTTGCCCTCTCCCGACTCAGGATGAAAAAATTCAGTCGGTAGGTAGGCGATAAATTTTTTTTCAAAGAAAATTTCAAAATCAATGCTGAATTTTCAAAATCTCTTTTCCGAAGTGCTTAAAAAAAATTGCTTCCTGGAGGTTAAAAATTTTTTTTGAGTCAGACCATTTTTAGTCAGTCGGTCGGGAGAGGGCAACCAAACAATTTTTTAAAGATGGCCCAATACTAAGTTTTATTGAATTCAATATAAATTTAAGGATTTCTCATGATGATTGATATACAAACATAACTGGAATTAATCCCTCAAATTTCTTACAGTACTACTTCTGTTTCCATTCAATCAGTTAATCCATCTATGTTAATATCATTCTGTTAGACACAATTTTACATACACTAGACATGCTTTATACATATTGTAGAGGTGATGCATCTGACATGCCTTATGCATGCTATTGACATGCATTACACATGCCTTTCGCATGCTGTAGACATGCTTTAGACATGCAGTATGTCTTACCTGGGATCTTTATCACGCTCCTTTTTGAGGAGCATTTTCAGGTAGGAAATATTCATAGTAACAGGGAGATTTAAATCACCCAACTTTAAGCTACAAATAGAAGCATCCTTAATTTACACTTTATTTATTCTGTCAGAAAAGTCCAACTATCTCACTTGAGCACTGAGCCTACATTGATTGAGATGGAAAAACTTAAATGATCACAGTGATGGCACATTTTTTCATTTATTTTGTACTTTAAAGTTAAACATTTAATTTTATCAATGTTTCAAGTGTTGTGTATCAATAGATACACTAAAACAGGGACAGCCTTTACTGATATTTAGACTCAAACTTGTTCTTTAAAGCTCAGACTAAGTCTGGCCTTTTTTCATTCAACTCAGAATGTAGGTCAGTTTCAGAATCTTATTGAACAAAACTGCCTACACCTTCCCTTTATATAAAGAGGCCAAAAATAATGCAAACAGAAATGATATGAAGAAATTGACAGCAACCTGTTGTCCAGTATTAGATGCTGCAATTAACAGGCTTCTTTCCTTGCTCTGTACTCTTAGACCTGTATCTTAATTTAACTCACTTCCTCCATAATGACAAAAGGGGAGATACAGGCCAAGGAATATGGTCTCAAAATAAGATGATGTTATGGTTTCAGCCATCGGTTACCAGGAACAGCCACTGACAGGATATCAGTGGAGACGGTTAACAACTCACTTCTATTATCTTAATACCTCACTTCAGTTTTCTTTTTAAAAAAAACCAAAACAATTTGACATAATCCAGTACAGTCATCAAAAGATCTGTGTTAATGGTTCTGTTCTCCATTTACCATTCCCTGATATGGATATTGGGGAACAATTTAGCCCTTGGTGATTGCAGCAATTATGTTGGAAGCACTAGTTTTCTAAGTGCTGATGTTTGAATAATGGGGTCTCAGAAAGAAAACAAATGCCAATTAACATGGCACAACATCAATAGGGACTAAATTTGTTTTCTTCTTTTTCTTCTCAAAATTTCTCCCTGCAAAACAGCCTTCATGTTGAAATGACGTATTTAGCCTTAGATATTGATTCTAACATTTTTGTTGATCAAACTCAAGACTTGTTCATAACAAAGTGTTTACTAGCATTTTGTTTTATTTTGATGCAAGGAGTTCAAGGATGCAAAAGAAACAAAAAGAAAAAAATGTGTTTAGGTAAAGCATGCATTTCTTTAAAAACAAATTATTGTGACCTTGACCTTTTCTAAATGACCTTGAGTCTGGGTTCAGACAAACACTCTGATTTTTATCTTATCTTTCTCTACAGTATGAATTTATAACATATTTCTCCATTACAAAGTTGACTGAATAAGATTTTCATATTCCCTTTTCCAATCTATATAATCCTGTCTAAATGAATCTGGGTCAAGAGACAATGATTTGAGTAATGTTTACATCACATGTATGACTACTCCTGAGATGATTTTTAAAGATTTTTTCTCTGTATATTTGTAACAGAAACATCATGTACGTGCCTCCACTTAGGATTGAATCCTGGACCTCTGACATGACACTCTAGTGCTCTACTGATCCAACTAAAGGGTTAAAAATAACCCGCAAGCCTAAGCCAATAGGAAGCCATGCATCACACACTACCACTGAAAAAGAGGTGTCCTCATCTCTTAGAGAATGCAACACCTGTGGGGCAAAGTTCTGGGACAATCACTTTCACTATTCCAGAGAATAACTGGGTCCCAGTGTGCTGGCAAAATGTAAAACCCCAGTCAGTCATTTCCAAAAACGACCAATGCCCAACAGTTTTTCAAGCAAAAATGGGATTCTTCAGGCAACAGTTCATAGGCCATTGTCTTGCCCGATTTTGACCTCTTTTTTGGTCAGCCGACCAAATTTGTGTCCATCAAGCAATGTTACAACTTTATCTGCATCGAGGGACGATTTCTCTAATTAAAGCAGTCCATTGACCAACCTTAGATCAATGTCCAACCATTGGCAGACAGTTTAAAGTCAGTAGTCAGTCGGTCAACATTTAGGGTTTTCCAAAATGTATGCCGACAGTTAAAATTAAACTGCAGCACAGCGCTCAATGATCGGGCGACAATTGGCTGGCTTATAACTATTTAACGAAGCCGAGTCTAATTCGAGTGCGCATGTCTTTGCTCAGCTTTTTAGTTTCATGCAGTCGTAGGTGCAACATAACACCTATCCTAGCCTAAGTATTGTAATTTTAATACAAAATTAACATTATATTATATTATCTGTGACGTTTATGGGTCTTAAAATGTGCTTTTAAGACAATAATTAGGAATAAATGCTGAAATGGCTTTCACGACGTCACTGTTTTCTGTTCTGTAAGCAATGCATGACGCTGAAGAATGATGTATAACTCGATTGAGTATTCAAGACGTCCATGGACATTTTATTTAAATTAAACTGTTGATAGAACATCAAAAGAAACATACCAGCAATATAAACATGGTTATTTTTTACCAAAATAATTCATCTGTGCCGAAATATACAAAATGTATGCCGTAATAAGGCAAATTTAGAGGTATTGGGCATTGGAAAAAAATAAACTTTGTAATAATTCCTAGACCAAACCAACAAATTCCCATAGGGTCCAATAGTAAAATTTGATGACTTTTGAGATGGCCCCCTAAGAAATCGGGATGGTAAACATTTGATTTTTTTATTGTAAGATAAGTAGTTTAATAGTAAAAATTCACTCAAGAAATTTTATCAAAATATCTAGGGTAGAAGTAATTAGACTCGTCCTCGTTAAACATTTCTTTCCATATTCCTAGGAATTAATGTGCTCCCTGTCGCCTGATACTAGTGTTTGCCGATCAGGTTTTTTCAGCCAACTATACCAGACATAATTGGTCGCCTGACCATCGGCTTCCATGTGACTTAGGTATAACAGAGACAGGTTTTGCCTCTGCTTGGGATTTAACCCTTAAGCTTGATCAGTAGAACACTGATCTGGCATACCAGAGGTCACAGACAGAGGAAAAATATTGTCTCTGTTACATTTTCAAATTTTGCCCCTCTTTCAGGGTGCTACCCTATGTCTATTAAGGGAGCCATGATTTGAACATACTCGATTTTTCACCACATGGTGATGCTTGCATTATATATTTCTTTAATACGGTTGTACTGTGGTCCAACTCTAGCTTCTGGGGCCATATTTTGAACACATTTGAATTTCATAAAGAAGCTTTCTCTTTAGGTTTTTTTCTCTGATTCAGTGATTCTTGATTTTCAAAAGATGACATCCTTTTAGACTAATTTTCACCATTTCATGATCATCTCCCTCTGAAAAGAAGTGAAAGGCTTCTTTTGGTGGGAATTTAAACCCCCAACACCCAAGGATGTTTTGCACAAAGTTGGTTGAAATTAAAACAGACATGCATAGTTCTGGAGAAGTTAAAAATGTGAAAAGTTGTCAGATGACAGACTATGGACGACAAAAAAGTTTTGATCATATAAAATCTCACTTATAAGACACTAACTCAAGTTGGCTTAAAAATATGGTCTAGGTTTATTAAAAAAATCAAGAAAATTATCACATGTACCGGTATGTTAAAAAATTGTGCATTTAACACTGTTTACACAAGCATTTTGATATTCATAGATTCCATTAATATTTAATTTCTTTTTTTTTCCTAAGAGATTTGAGATTTTTAAAGTTTGCAATTCTCAGAACACATTTGACTAAGAGAGAATAATAAACTTGTCTGTCAAATATTTTTCTCTATCAAAATACATGTTTATAGACCATATCAAATTAAAGTTGCCATGGAATATGGTTATTATCACTTAAGTATCATAATTGTCTATCTCCTAATGGCTGTTACGACATGTTCTAGTCATGGCCCTTTATTTGAAGTATATTGAAAGTTAAAAATCAGGTTTTAAAAAGCTTTATCCGTATGGGACCATTTAAAATCTAGATTATTTTCATTTAGGGGTTTCATTTAAATTACTTTTGTAGCTAAATTCCACAGTACGGTATAATTTGCTTCTTTTTTTTTTTTATCATGTTAATTTTTCAAGCTGGCATGATGATTTTATCAAATACTTAATTTATCCTCAACATTAAAACAGGTGAAAAAAAAATTCACCTTATAAAAGCAAGATAAGAGGAGCTACACAATTGTGTCAACTATTGAGCACCTTTCCTAAAATCAACCATAACTTCTCTGGTAATCAGGTTGACTTTAATTTTCAATGATAAATTGATAACCATCATTGCTGTTTCTCCCAGCAGACTTCACCAAAAGGTGAAAGATTATCTAATTTTGGAACTACTAAGCCCCCCACAAAATGATATTATGTTGACATAATCATCAATTTAAATAAACTGTCCAGGTGACAGTCACATAAATCAACAGTTCCTCACCCCCATATGATCAATATTTATTATCCCCAAATGATAGAACTGCCAACAAGCTCTCTAAACTTTTGACAGAAATCAAATAATTCTAAAGACGAGTCACCTAATAAAGATAAAAATCCTAAAACTCAACAGATTTATGGTTTTATTGCTTTTCAAGTTCAATCTGAAGTATAAAATCCCCATTCATTTTTTCCAGTGCATCTAAGATTGCATAAAAACAAGCAATATTTAAATATCAATAACACATCCTCCAACAAATAAAATGAACTGCAATAAAATGAACACTTTCTTACCGTTTCTTTTTCCCTGGTTTAGACATAAGTACTTCTCGGTTGATGGATTTCTCTCAGAGCAAAAGTTATAAACAGCTTCTGCTGAGGACACATCTATCCTAGGACTGTTGCAACACAATATTAATGATCTGGAAAAAAAAGTTCTGGAATCTGATCTCAGTAATTCCTTAAAGAATCATGGAATATCAAGTTTCTTTAACTGAAGATCACAATCTTTGATAGAACAGGGTTGCTTTGTGTGTAAGCCTTTGTTTACCTAATAGTGCACTACATGTTTCGATGTCTATATCATTAATAGCCCTGGATTGTCCAAACTATAAAAACCGCTTTTTATATAATAAGAAAAATATATGATACCGAGAGGGTACACATTATTAAAATCTCCAAATATCAATCATTTAAACTTTAAATCTCAAATGAGGTTACCTTGAATGCTACCTAAAAAGTATATCCAATTAAAATTTTCAAACCACTAGAAATCTTATGAAGTTGTTATTTCTACAACTTGATTTAGGGCTCGTGGGTATATTAACTTGTGTTGACAGATTAAATGTATATGACACATCCAAGTAAAAATTTCCAAACTACAGTCAAGTACAGTGTATTCCAATGTAAATAAAGTAAATCATGATTTAAGTATTTTTAAATATTTCTACTTTACCTAAGAATAAAATTTGATTACTAGCATGCATATATATTAGAAAATAAAAATCAGAACTGAACACCAATATGATCAAGTTTCAATATTTTCTTTGGTGTTCACTTATTTCATAAGAAGAGATTTTTCTTTTTTATTTATTTTAGTCCCAGGGATACCATTTGATATTATGTCATCTATACTCTACCTACAAAACCTTCCCACAAGTTCTTCAACATGTTTGTTCTGTTGATTGTTTAAAAAAAAAAGATTTTTGGGGGGCAAGATTACCCTTTCCCATTTTATCTTATGTCCCCTAGTAAAATAACTTGACCTTTGGATGTTTCGAGTTGATTTGATTGAAAAATTACAGATAATTCAATCTACATGATTTTGATGTGTTCAATATGTAAACAAAAATTACTGACAGTCTTAAAAAAAGAACATGCAAACTTAAGACGTCATCGCAAGGAAAACCATGAATTGGCAAACAATACACACAATCACTATATTGATCTTAATTATACCAAGTACTCAGTACCTATAATTAAAGAAACTGCTGTGAATGGCCAACTCTCCAATTTACATGGTAATTTTTCTAAGTCCATTAAACCAAATACATTGTAAATTTACATTATGAATAAACAATTAAGTTAACTTAATCACTCCAATTTATCACTAAAGGATAGGAATTGCTACAAACTCTCAACGTAGGCACTCTTTGGTATTCAAATAGCAAGAAATCAGCAGATTTCACAAAATAGTAATCTCTTAAGTACATAGTGAATGTATTCAATTTAATCATTTGGATAACTTTTTCTTTCTAATTTCATTTTTGTGTCACCTGCAAAGCAGAGCGACACTTTGGGATCACTTTACCTACCATCTGTCTGTCTGTCACACTCTATATCTTGAGAAATGTAAGAGGTATGGATTTGATATTTTACATATATATAGCTTGGCACTTTGGCTTTGGTAAAATACCATTTTACCAACTGCATGACCCCTGAACTTGACCTTTGACCTACTTTTCAAAATAGTTCATTGTGCCGATATTAGTTGGTGTTCCAATCATCGATTATAATCAAAAATCAGTCGATTGCTGGCATAATCCAAGTGCTCGATTACAAAATTTTTATTCTGATTAATCAGGTTTTTTATTTTATTTTACAATCATAATAGTTTTTAAGCCAAATTTAATATTCCAGCTGCGATTTGTCTATTAACTTATTTGTGCATCGTAATGACGCAGATGAACAGACATTGTATTCATACCAGGGTAACAACGCTCATTCCCGGGTATGAATGTACTTTGGATTCTACAAAATGAACGATGAACCAGTTGTACTAGAAAGAACGTTCCATCATTAAAATGATATTGTCCTAAGGACTAAGACTTGTCCCGAGACACAGTTAGATTTTTCTAACTACAGCTGGACCACCACAGAAAGTAGTTATTCAGCCATTCTTCCCAATTAATAAACTAAATTGACAGACTTTGTAAATGTCCAATTATAATTGATAATTAGTTAGTTACAGTTGCCCAATCACCGATTATGAAATTCTTACCAATTTCCATCACTAGCCGATATACAGCATATTTTTGACATTTAAGAGGTAAGTCTATGCTATCTAGCATGTGAATTGTCTGCCATTTAACATTAAAAAATATTAGCGTTAGTTTACTTGACCTTGAACTTTGATCTTCTTTGCAAAAATACTCCAGTCGGTTAATTTGTGTTTTTTGAATTTTGAGAGGCAGGGTTTTGATAATTTGCATTTATACCATATGTTTATGAGCTCTTGGTGCTGTACTACTACTTTGAAATGTATGCTATAAGTTACCACAAAGACTGAAATTCAAAATATTATGAAAATACATCAGGAACATTATACCAAAAGGATTGTTGTAGACTGACAAATTTGCTGTAAAGACAGACTGAAATCTCTTTTGGAGGATAGTTTGATATTCATTTTAGTTTTGAGGGTTATTGTCAGATTTTATATGATAAATGCTTATTTATTATATAAAAGAGAAGTATATCTCCAATACTGACTGTAAAATATTGATAGTACAGCACCCTCACCATTACATTCAAGTCATGCAATATGATCTAGTAACTTAGAAACTTACTCAGAACTTACCTTTTTTAAAAGAATTATCCAAAGATAACAATTTACACTAACACCTCCTATCAAACATTGAATGCTAAATTCTTAGATAAAAATCTCTAAGTTATACAACATCTAGCATTACAAAAAGGAGAGCAGTTTATGGTTTCAAATTAAACAAGAAGTACTTGAAAGTTGCCGATTCAATAAAAATCGGTGAACACCCGATTCACCAGGTGACAGTCAATTATCTCGATTATCATATCTCAGTTGTTAACTCTAAAATGGCTTTTAAATATTTCACATGGTGCATCCATACAATTGTTTGATTTTTCACTTATCAACTTTAAGATAAACATGTCCATAACAAATTAAAAGTTGATCCCAAGTTAAAGTCCCTCCTTTGCAGTTTGGCTACTTAATAACAGACTGTTATACATCTAGCAATCAATGTTCCAATAGATTGTGGAGTTCATGGTAAGGTCCTATATTCAGCTGAACAAAACATAGGTGACAAACAAATTCAATAGTTTGTCTGTAATAGTGACAAACTGTAGAGAATGTCATAACAGTCCACACATCAATTCACTGGGGGATCTCTGCCTACCATTCTAACAAATCTATTGATACAAAAGCTTCAATGCCTAATGCTGCAATTTTTCATGGTATAAATTAAATATCTTACTCTTATAAACACATTTATTGAATCTTACTAATCCAGCAGGGATAATTCATGTTCAGTGATTTAAATGTAGCCATGCATATGATGCAATTAAACATCCTTCTGTTAAGAAATGTTTCATAACCCCAATATTGAGAACATTTCTTTCAATTGAAAACCCATTTGATATACAGAAGATGTAGGCAAAATTGAGTTCTGAGTGCTGAAAGATGACATTAACCATTCTATACATTACACATCTTTCCTCTTCATGCTGAATTGTAGGGCTTTCATTCAAGGACTTATCGCATGAGTTTTAAAAAAAATCCTAATTTTATGAAAAATATTACCTACAACCTTGATTACTAAAATTCTGAATACAATAAACCATATTTTAAGTGATATTGAGAGTTGAAATTCAAATAATATGGCAATAAGCATGTTTCAATTGGATTTCAGCAAAATACTGTTCTGACATCAGAGGCGAAAATTCAATGAATGAGGGATGAGAATTTGCACACTCTTTATGGATTTATAAACGACAAATGCTTAAAAGCTTAATTACGAAAAATGCTGAAAAACTTCATTCCTAGCATGCTTTTCAATTATTATGGAAATGATAACTAGTTCTAAGGTATAAGGCTTTTGAGATATTTTTATTTTTTTTATTCCAAACATTTAGAATCTGTAGCTCTGACTACGGCAAAGCTTCGTGGTGGGGAAATTATTTTTCAAGACTGCCACCCTTTACAAAATAGGCCCTATATGAAGGCATACTTGCATAAATTAATATTATATTAACCAGAAGTCTCTGATGAGACTGTAACTCTACTGGTCTGTACATTTACATGTAACAAAGGAAAAGTAGCACTTGGATTTGAAACTTTGCAACATGCAGCAATAAATAGAATTATTAATCTTAATGTAGTCTACTTGTGTGCCACGTTATATTGAAATCAAACAAAAACTGTAGGAGGAGTAGCGTTTTAAAGGAATTTAACAGAAATTTCTATTTTTAGTAACCATGGCAACACCGTTCATTGAAATCAAAAACCAATGCACTAAATTATGTATCTTAGTGTAGTCTACTTGTGTGCCAAGTTATATTGAAATCAGACCAAAGCTGTAGGAGTAGCATTTTGAAAAATTGCTTACAGACAGACGGACAGACGACGGACACCTTATTATCGCATAAGCTCTTCTGGTCTCTGACCAGTAGAGTTAAAAATGAAAAATAACAAAGTTATATAAAGTTAAATTTATGAGTAAAATAGGTTAATACATGTGATAAGATGACAAATCAAATTGTATTGTGATGGTGAGTTTCTTCGTCTTCGCTGCATCTCCTATCATCGCTGCTATTTAATTTTTACATTGTTTACAGATTTTCTCTTGCTGACAGTTGAAACATCCAATTTCATTTCAACAACATAGGTAATCAGAGATTACAGAGCTCACCTCAACGAATGTTGTCATTAAGTAAGGCAAAGTCCCACATAAACTAATAATGTAGGAGTGTGCATACCTAGAAGCAACATTTATGCAATTTTGGTGTGATAGGGCTTGCAGTTACTTGGTAATAGACTTATCTGAAAACTAGTCACTCATCCAGAAAATGCAAGTCAAATCCAGCATCTGAAGCAAGTTTGAGATTGTTCGTCCCTTGATGCATCGTCCATGCAAGTTTGGTTCAGATAGGCCTTATAGTACGATGGCCGACAGCGGCCGCCACTTTTGATTCTGAATATTGTCATTTTGTACAGCTTTTTTGTCAATTTTCGTTGACAAATTACAATTAAACTGGTAATGCTATATGTCCATATACAGTTCTTTACACTGACAATTTACACTGGAGAAAATCATTAAAATTCTTTCTTGCGATATGAAATGAAGATACATAAAACAGGTTACTTGAAGGTGATAAGCTTGAGGTTCTAGCAGAACAGCAAGGTCGGGGTGATTACGGATTAGTATTGTCTTCTAGATATGCTTTCTCGACAGATTGTAGTAATTAATTCATAAAATTCCATGTTGGTGTACCTGCTGGTCACATCATAGGTAACCAGGATGAAATTTTCCAGGTCTATCAGAAATTTGATTTTGTTCATAATCGGACGTGTCTTTGATGTATGAATTTTGTTTTTTAAACAATGCGCACGAGGAAATGATCACTTTAGTTACATGTACCTATATTTTCATTCCCGTGCCACATTGAAAAATAATTGGCCGACCAGGTGGAAGTCTTGAGAGGTTGCGTTGGCCTTTAAAAGTGTTTCAAGCATTTAGTTATTAATTTATGTGTTTAGAGAGCAAATACAGACTCCCACATTTAAGGTTGTCATTTTATTCTTGCTTAAAAACGGGTATATTTCCATATCTAAAGTTTTGTTTTTGATACATTCCATAAACTTTTGATTGGATGCTCACATGTAGAGCTACTAAATCCTGTTTTTCTACCTCTGCATAATAGGTAGAATCGAGTTGTCTCATACACTTTGAGGATTGAGATATATCCATTATATTCATGTATATCCATTACAACAAACGTACTATTTTTATTCGCCTTTTTAATTACAATCCCAAGAATATCATTTTAATGATACAACAAGGTGACAGAATGACGATTTACGTCTAATCTAGGATTAACTGGGTTACGATATCTCAGACTAATTGAGGGTGAAAATCATTAAAATGCTCCTTATCTCTTTCAAGCCACCTGTTTTATGTATCTTAATTTCATATCACACGAAAGAATTTTAATGTTTTTCGCTGGTGTAAATTGTCAGTGTAAAAAGTGTACATGTACATATAGCATTACCAGTTTAGTTATAATATGTCAACGAAAATTGACAAAAACGCTGTACAAAATGCAAATATTCTTAATCAGAAAGTGGCGGCCGTTATCGGCCATCGTATTATAGTAACTTGGAAATGAAATCTGCTCCAAAAACTTTAACCTGGTTACTCATCCGGAAAATGTAGGTCAGATCCAGTATCTGAAACAAGTCCAGTAGTGTGAATCCTTAGATGTATCATCCATGCAAGTTTGGCAATATAGGACTTATAGTTACTTGGAAATGAGATCTACTCCCAAAACTTTAACCTGGTTACTCATCCAAAAAATATAGGTCAGATCAAGCATCCGAAGCAAGTCCAGTAGTGTGAATCCTTAGATGTATCATCCATGCAAGTTTGGTCAATATAGGGCTTATAGTTACTTGGAAATGAGATCTACTCCAAAAACTTTAACCTGGTCACTCATCCAGAAAATGTAGGTCAGATCCAGCATCCGAAGCAAGTCAAGTAGTGTGAATCCTTAGATGTATCATCCATGCAAGTTTGGTCAATATAGGGCTTATACTTACTTGGAAATGAGATCTACTCCAAAAACTTTAACCTGGTCACTCATCCGGAAAATGTAGGTCAGATCCAGCATCCGAAGCAAGTTCAGTAGTGTGCATCCTTAGATGTATCATCCATGCAAGTTTGGTCAATATAGGGCTTATACTTACTTGGAAATGAGATCTACTCCAAAAACTTTAACCTGGTCACTCATGCGAAAAATGTAGGTCAGATCCAGCATCCGAAGCAAGTTCAGTAGTGTGCATCCTTAGATGTATCATCCATGCAAGTTTGGTCAATATAGGGCTTATAGTTACTTGGAAATGAGACCTGCTCCAAAAACTTTGACCTGCTCCAAAAACATTAACCTGGTCATTCTTTAGCTGAAATTGCAGCATCTGAAACCTTGACTGGTACAATGAAACACACTAGAAGCATCCTCCATGCATCTCTGACTAATATAGGCCCTAGAAGTACTTGAAAAGAAAACTGCTCCAAAAACCTTAACCTGGGACGCCAACACCGAGGGTAATACATAAGCTCCCCCATCTTCGTTGAGGTGAGCTAAAAATCAGTGATTTGGTTGTCCGTAACTCAGAAAATCCAGGTTGTATTGCACATATTTTAGTAATTTGTAATTTTAGACATTCCATATTGAATACGGCTAAAAATAAAAATATTTTTTATTTTTCATCTCAATTTGCCCTAATGCACTACACACTGGAGATAACATTAGCATGACTTTATTACATATAAAATATGATATATATCAGCGTCATTTTTTGTTGTTGTTGATACTTTTCATATGATAAAATTTGATACTATTTCATATCTTCAAAACAATTTTTTCATGGTTACTAATTTAAAATAAAGGGACAAAAAAACTAAACTGGAAACAAATTTCTGTTTAATATGTTGACATATTTTAGAGGGCCCAGGTGATGGAGTTAGGATTCGTTGGACGCAATGTTCACAAATGTGATAGAGTTCTATTTATAGTGGTTTTGTATTAGCCCAATATTCTGCATTTTTTACAAGGGTACTGAAAACAATGCTTAAGTTCATACCAAGTGTAGCAAACAAGAAACAAAAAATAATCCAGAGAGTAACCTGGCGTGTTATCCGCTTATGGTGAAGGAGTTTGGGTAGTAGGGGATATATATAATATACCCAGTTGGGACCAAGTGCCCAAATGGGACATAATAGCCCATTTGGGATATAATATCCCAAATGGCATATAAAGTTACAGTGCAAAAAATTAAAAATTTTATTTTAGCTATAAATATTGTAAATCCGCATAAATATGAATTGATTTGAATGCAGTAACTTTTTGAATGCAACTTTTTCTATAACCCTACAGTTTATAAGATTGATCCCCATGAAGTTTAGGATCTTCCGAGGGATCAATCTCCTAAACAGTTGGGATACAGAAGAACTTGTTAATCAAAAGTTATTGCATCTTATGTATTCTGATGCGGATTTATAATATTTAAAGCTGAATGAAAGTTCTTCATTTTTTACACTGTAAATTTATATCCGATTTGGGATATTATATCCCAAATGGGCTATTATATCACATTTGGGCGATTGGTCCCAACCTGTTAACCCCTACACAAGGCCTATTCACATTTCACAGCGAAGATTTATTTTACGATGTTAAGCATAGTGCCTTACCATGTTAAATGTATATATTTAAATATGAAGAAAGAAATAGAGCACATACACTTTTCCAGATCACAAGAAATTCTATTCAAGAATAATTTTAGGAACTTTAAAACGCGAGGAAATTCTGGTTGTAGAATCTTCGTTATCAATTTCCAATACAGGCTACAACCTGACAACAACATCGACTACACAACAAGTCCGAAACTTCATATGCACAAGAGATTTTTGCATCAATAAATAATTTCTTTGAATCCCTTTACCTGTGATGCTTAATGCATCATAAACCACATTGTTAGTTGTCATGCATCTCTGCAGCAGACGGACGTCCAGCATCCATTTTGCAGAACAATGCATTTGACAAAACGAACTTTCTGGTTGTCCGTACCCGACACATATCAATGATATTAAATGGAAAAGCTTAAAATATACAAGGGTACCGATTTCAATTCGATCCTAATATAGAACCATCCTTTTCAGCCTTCAATAATACACATGTTTGAAGAGTATGACAAGCACACAGATTTTTTTTGGTAAAAAAGGGGGGAGGGCTGAAAAAAAATTGGCAAGTCACCTTAAAAAAATTAAAGTGGAAGGATTTGACCCTACTGCAGCAAAAGAGGGGGAGGGGGGCTTTTCATGAAAACTTCCATACTAATATAAAGAGGGGGTTCGTCAATATCTAAACAATATTTTCTGAAACTAATGCATGGTCGTAGGAAACTGGGGGATTACTATGCAGCTTCCCCCAATAATTCTGCCGATATATAGAATACTGTAGAAAACATACCTCCTTAAGTGCTTGTGCCCCTAAATAATAAAATAAATGTACAAATCTGATTTTTTTGCTATTGTTTGCTTGGTAGTGCCCCCCCCCCTCTCCAAGCTGAAAATGTTTGGTTTGTGCCCCCCCCCCCCCCATTGAACAGATTGAACTAAAACTGCTTAATTACTTCAGTTTCCCCTAGGCCTGTAATGTCCAGTCTTGATACAAGGGATCTTATGTAAACAGAACATTTATCTTAAAAGTTTTTCAATGTAGTAGAAATATGCTTTTTTGAAAAATTGATAATATCAAAGGGTTTTCATGTCATCAGACTAGCTAGCCATTTATAGTTATCTCTATAAGCCAATTAACTCGGCTTTTTTAATTTTGTCGGATGGCAGAAAATTCAAAACAAGCGAGTTTATTGGTATGTAAAGACGATTGTAAAGGGTTAGGAGGTGGATAAAATATACTGTTTGTTTTAAAAAATTGTCTTAAATTAGGGAGTAAAAGGTAGTTGATTGTCAAATGCTGGAAAGTGAAGAAATTCCCAACAGTGCACAGAAAATCTTGCGCACCATATTTGCATTACGGGATCTGTAGCATTATGATCAAAAACTAAAACCATAACGCTACAGTTCTGCAGCTAAACTCCAAGGTAAATTTTGTATTTTATACTTCCCTAAATATTTTTGGTAGCTATACAATCTATTTTGCGAATTATCTATAATGTATACTTTGAGGATTTAATTTTTGTTACATGGATATAACGAATTATGGATAAAGTGAAGTAAATGCACAGGTCCCCAGAACCTCGCTATAACCGAGTTTTACTGTACGATCATTCCTTGATAATGTGATCTGATTTAAGCGCTACATGTTCATGTATCAAAACATTTTGTATCTTATTTTTGGATGAAAAAGGAGGGGGGAGGCAAAGCCCCCTCCCCCGATGTAGGAGTACAGAATCCAGGCGCGGATCCAGGAATTTTTTCCAGGGGGGTCCATCCCAGTCAAAAAAAAAAATTCTAACCCAAAATTATTTGACAAGCACAGGTTAATTAAAGCCATTTTCCAAATGTGAAAAACAAAAACACCTATTTCGTGGTGGTGATGGTGGGGTCCACGTTTTCTAGGGGGGGGGGGGGGGGGAGGTCCAGTCATTTTTTATTTGCTTCAGTATATACTTTTTATAACTCTGCAAATTCCGGGGAGGGGGGGGGGGTCCTGATCCTCCGACCCCCCATCTAGATCTGCGCATGGAATCGGTACCTTTTGTATCTCTGTAGGATGAGTGTGATGTCATCACATTCAGGATGAAAACAAAGAATTCCCAAAGGCTAGCAGTAGATTTTATTTATTGATACTTTATACATATATAGTAGTATATGCATATATTTGTAGGTTAATTAATAAATAATGTATTTGATACATAAGAACATGTTTTGTCTGTGAATCTTCAACTATCTGTGATATAAACAAATATTATTTGATATATAATATACATCCTTTAATTACCCATCCCACTGAAATTTTAATGACAACATCAAGAGATGAATGCTACAAATCAAATTCTCCTAATATATATATATACATACCATATGCAAGACACAAATTCTCCAATCTACAGTTGAATGATACATGTACAAGTGAATAATTAGGAATCAAATTCTCATAATATAAACACAATACAAAAGACACAAATTCTCTTATCCATAGTTGATTGATAAATAATTTGGAATGTTCAACATATGAGAAGTTTATTTTCTATTAGTATCCTAAATCTACAAGTACTTGTAATATATTGAAATCAAGCACTGAACAAGCTAGGTCCAAGGACAAAAGTTACAGATATAAGCCAGAAACAATTTTTAACAATGATACAAAGTTTGTGACCTTGACCTTAAACCCTTTCATCTTGGAAGTAATTGGGGTCATGTTTTCCTTATTGACAGCATTGAAATAAATCTGGAAACCATTATACTATGCATAAAATTGTTATCTTGACCTTTTGATCTTTCTTAAGATTTATTAACCCTCTGAGCATCTTCTCTAGAGTCACAGAGTAAGGAGTTGATCCTTACGTCGTGGGTTCGAATCACACTGCGGAATGTGGATACCGGTTCTTTGGATGTGACCGAATAAACCGAGGTCCCATGTCGCAGTAGGTATTGGCATGAAAAAGATTCCTCACTGCTCAATGGCCCTGAGTGCTAAGCATAGGTATAAATTTGCAGCCCTCCACCGGCAAGTGGTGGTGTCTCCATATGAGTGAAAAATTCTCGAGAGGGACGTTAAACAAACAAAACTTAACCCTCTGATAAGAGAGATAACTCTGACTGAGATAAATGACTATTACATATTCCTTTATAAAATCGTCAACAGACCAGTCTTGTCAAATTTTGCCGAGCAGAGTATGCTGATATTATGTATATTTTAATTATTAATAAGATTTCTTTTGAAAAATCAGAAGCATTAAGTATGATGTTAAGGAAAAATTTGAGTGAGCAGAGGATTGATGAACTTTAAGTTAGAGTCATCATCTCAAATCATCTTAAATTCCAATTCAAAAACTCTAAGAGAACTAATCTAATCATCTAGAAACCATTTTATGGAATTTATAAATTTGTGACCTTGACCTTTGACCTCAAATTTTCAATACATAGGGAAATGTATACAATTTTAATTGCAAAAGCTTAAGGACTTTAAGAGATATCAACTGGAAGCAAAAGTGTTACAGACAAAATGATGTATTGACAGAGAGACAGATGGCTGGACAGACCCAAATTAATATCCCGGCCAGCGAAAGCTGGGAAAAAAAGTCAACCTGATTCTTAGTATTACATCTCTCAAAGGCCTCAAAGTTCTGAGGCAAAAAGAAAAAAGAAAAAAAAAAGAATAAATAAATTTCTGGAAAACATCATTTTCATCACTTTTATGCTAATCAAGAGCGACAATTCAATTAAATACGAACTGCCCTGTCAATTTCAAACACACTGGTTATACCAAGTCCCTCAGTTTCACTGAAAGGAGACTAATAAAAACATAATATACATTTCAATAATACGATGTATCTGATCTATTTACACACACAAACATGTAAACATTATTTAATCAAATAATTTAAGGCAGACACACCTGCATTTTATTGAGCATGATATGTACAATTAGTGGTATATAACCTACAATTCAATGACCATGTGTTTAACAGTATATCACTGATTTACAGCAAACTTTATATATCATATGTTTAATGAGATAACATAGTGAACATCAAGGGATGTGAAAAGATAAGAATTCCCTGAGAGTGAGTTTTCAATCCATTAAACCCTGAGGGATTGTAATAAATAAAACTAAATAATATAAATACATTTTGATTGTTATAAATACATTTAACATTGTTAAATACTAGTAAATTTAACCCTGAGTTACACTCCAATCAGTTGTTTTAATCCTTGCTCCTCTCCTATCATCTGTTTTAACTCTTCCTCTCACTTTTAATCAGCTGCATTAACTTTCCTTACTTCCACTAAAACATTTTGTTCAGTTGTCTTTTTCTCCTGAATCGTGGCTTTTCTTTATCAGGGTCTTTTGTTTGAACATAACCTTGTAAAAAAATTATTATAAGAAAATGCACATTTACAAACAGAAAGTCTTACTATAATAAAGGTATAGAACAAATACCAATTATATAAATAAAAAAACATAGATAACTAGAAATATGTCCATTGCCCTGCCTGGAGTTCATGAGTAATAGTTATGAAAATTTGTATTAGTGTATAAAGTTTGATAAAATATCTTAGTTTCTTTAAAACTGAGTTTTACACACAATAAAGAGTTAAGTCAAAGGTAATTGAGAAAGTCAAGTTAAAAAAAATTGGACACAGTAAATTCTCACCATATAATGTATCAGTGTATAAGCTTACATAAAAAATATCTTGAAAAGTTTCTTTGAAACTTAGCTAAACACAAATTTAAGAAAAATGTGGTCAAGGTTAAAGAGAAGGTCAAGGTCAAAATTGTTGATGCAGTTGAACAACTCTCATCAATATGTATCAATATGCGCTTTTGATAAAAATGTCTTGATTAAAATAGTTTCTTTGAAAATTAGCTAAACACAAATTTGAAGTCAATGTCAAAGAAAAGGTCAAGGTAAAAAATGTTGATGCAGTTGAATAGCTCTCGCCAATGTGTATCAGCATATAAGATTTGATTGAATTATCTTGAATTGTTTCAGTGAAACTAAGCTGAACACTATTTTAAGAAATGTGAGGTCAAGGTCACAGGTGAAGTCAAGATCAAAAAATGTTAAAGCAGTAGAACAGCTTTCATCAATATAAATAAGCATTTTTAGGCTTGATAAAAATATTCTAAGTTTCTTTAAAATTGAGATTTAATCACTTCTTTAAGAAAGTAAGGTCAAGGTCAAAAATTGTATCAGCATATAAAGTTTGATTAAAATATCTTAAATAATTTCTTTGAAACTAAGCTAAATACAAATCTTAGAAAAGTGAATTCAAGTTCAAACGAAAGGTCAAGGTCAAGAAAGATGAATAGTTCTCATCACTATGTATCAACATATAAGGTTTGATAAAAATGTCATGAATATTTTCTTTGAAACTGATCTAAATACTAATTTAAGAAAAATGAAGTCAAGGAAAACAAGGAAGTTCAAGGTCAAAAATGTTGATGTAGTCTAATATCTCTCATCAATACATATAAGCAATATAATGTTTGATAAAAATATCTTGAATAGTTTCTTTGAAATTGAGATAAAAAGTAAAGTCAAGATCAAGACAAGGTAAAGGTAAAAATGTTGAATCAGTTGAATAGCTCTCATCAATATGTATCAGCATATAAAGTTTGAATAAAATATCTTGAATAATATCTTTGAAACTTAGCTGGAAAAGTGAAGTAAAAGTCAAAGCAAGGTTAAGGTCAAAAAATGTTAGGGAAAGCTAACATTGTTTTTTTTTTTATTTTTATAATGAACGAATGAAGCATGAAATGATGCAGTTGAATAGTTCTCATCAGTATGTATCAGCATATAAGGTTTGATAAAAATATCTTGAATAATTTATTTGAAACTTAGCTAAACATAAATTACAGTAAAGTAAGGACGGGGTCACAGGGAAGGTCAAGATCAAAACATAGGTAATCAGAGATTACAGAGCTCACCTCAACGAATGTTGTCCTTAAGTAAGGCAAAGTCCCACACTAAACTAATAATCTAGGAGTGTGCATCCCTAGATGCAACATTTATGCAATTTTGGTCTGATAGGGCTTGGGAATAGACTTATCTGAAAATTTAAAACTAGTCACTCATCCAGAAAATGTAAGTCAAATCCAGCATCCGAAGCAAGTTTTGAGATTGTTCGTCCCTTGATGCATCATCCATGCAAGTTTGGTTCAGATAGGCCTTTTAGTTACTTGGAAATGAAATCTGCTCCAAAAACTTAATCTGGTTACTCATCCAGAAAATGTAGGTCAGATCCAGCATCCGAAGCAAGTCCAGTAGTGTACATCCTTAGATGTATCATCCATGCAAGTTTGGTTAATATAGGGTTTATAGTTACTTGGAAATGACATCTGCTCCAAAAACTTTAACCTGGACACTCATCCGGAAAATGTAAGTCAAATTCAGCATCCGAAGCAAGTCCAGTAGTGTGCATCCTTAGATGTATCATCCATGCAAGTTTAGTCAATATAGGGCTTATAGTTACTTGGAAATGACATCTACTCCAAAAATTTAACCTGGTCACTCATCCGGAAAATATAGGTTAGATCCAGCATCCGAAGCAAGTCCAGTAGTGTGCATCCTTAGATGTATCATCCATGCAAGTTTGGTCAATATAGGGCTTATAGTTACTTGGAAATGAGATCTACTCCAAAAACTTTAACCTAGTCACTCATCCGGAAAATGTAGGTCAGATCCAGCATCCGAAGCAAGTTCAGTAGTGTGCATCCTTAAATGTATCGTCCATGCAAGTTTGGTCAATATAGGGCTTATAGTTACTTGGAAATGAGACCTGCTCCAAAAACTTTAACCTGCTCCAAAAACTTTAACCTGCTCCAAAAACATTAACCTGGTCATTCTTTAGCTGAAATTGCGGCATCTGAAACCTTGACTGGTACAATAAAACACACTAGAAGCATCCTCCATGCATCTCTAACTAATATAGGCCATAGAAGTACTTGAAAAGAAAACTGCTCCAAAAACCTTAACCTGGGACGCCGACGCCGAGGGTATTACATAAGCTCCCCCAACTTCGTTGAGGTGAGCTAAAAATGTTGATACAGTTGAATAGTTTTCATCAGTATGAATCAGCATATAAGGTTTGATAAAATATCTTGAATAGTTTCTTTGAAACTGAGCTGAACATTAATTTTAGAAAAGTTAGTTCAAGGTCAAAGGGAAGATAAAGGTAAAAATATGTTGATGCAGTTGAATAGCTCTCGCCAATATGTATCAGCATATGAAGTTTGATAAAACAAGAAGTCTGTGAGCCACTAATAATACTCCCGCTCTGATGTGAATACACAAGTTCAGTTATGGATAGACACAGTGATAATCAGGAAATTGACATTGGATTTGTACAAAAATTAATCCCAACATATAGTATGCCTAAACAAAGAGTGTGCTAAAATTTCAAGCATCTGCGATGAGTAGTTGCTGAAAAAACTGCCACCAAAATTTGTTATGTATGGTACGGACAGATGCACAGGTAAACAGGAAGTTGACATCGGATTCAAACAAAAATAATTCCCACCATATGGCATGCCTAAACAAAGATTGTGCTAAAATTTCAAGCATCTGCGATGAGTAGTTGCTGAGAAAACTCCGACCAAAATTTGTTATGTATGGTATGGACGGACACACGGTTAAACAGGAAGTTGACATCAGATTCCTACAAAAATGAATTCCACCATATGGCATGCCTAAACAAAGGGTGTGCTAAAATTTCAAGCATCTGCGATGAGTAGCTGCTGAGAAAACTGACAGAGACAGACAGACACACAGCTAGACAGACAGACAGACACACAGACAGACAGAATCTATCTTTTTTGTGTTAGCCATCACCTTTATGTAGCTACTGATATATACATGAATCTATCACTTTTGTGTTAGCCATCACCTCTATGTAGCCACTGATATATACATTATACAGTAGTTACCTCTTTCCTCACATTCCAGTGTGTCCTCCATACCAATATCCCAGAAGTGTTCTGGTGTTCCGGGGGCAGCATGTTTAGCTCGGTGTCGGGAACATGTCTGCATTCTCTTTTGTATCTCCTCTTCAGAAAGACCCAGCCCCTCATAGTACTACAAGAACAATATGGAGGTATGAAATATCAGATAGACCCAGTTCTTCATAGTGCTAGAACAATTAACAGTTAACAGATATCATAAAGACCAAACCTCTTGTAGTAGGGCAATAAAAATACAGACCAGGTAATGTGCCTCTTACTGTCCAGTAACAAAAGAGTGTAAGAGATATCAGGGAGATCCAAACACTTAAAGTTACCGGATATCAAAATGGCCCAAACAATTATAACAATCGTAAGTGCTTTTCATGCTTCTTATAAACTACGCCAAGCGCTCAGAACTTTGAAGTGAAAGTTGCGGGTCCTTCGGATGAGACCTTAAAATATTTGCACGATAAAGATCCCTCACTGCTCAATGGCCCTGAGTGCCCAGTAAAGGTCAAAATTTGAAGCCCTTCACCAGTATATGGTGATGTCTCTATATGAGTGAAAAATTCTAAAATGGGACGTAAAACAACATACAATCAATCAATCAAAATCAGTAAGCAAAACAGAAATCAAGGACCTCAGATATTGAGTGCCATCTGTGTGAAACAAGAATTTTGGAAATCTGACGTCAAAATCACAAGTGTTACATAAAAGTAGGCCATCAGAAAATCTTACGAGAAACTGTCATCGTTTATATTTTTTGGACTATTTCATTTTTTAATTAACTACTGTGCAGTAATGAAATATACTGCTTGTATGATGCATAAAAAGTTTGATTTAACATGCATCTTTATTTTTTATTTTACATTATTAATGGTCTAAAAGGATTTTTTGTGAAAAGGGCAACAGAGACCCAACCCCTTACAGAACTACAATAAACAGACAACAGCGATACCTCTCTTCACACAGTTATATAAAAATAAAGATAAGATTTACTTCACTGGGAATGCCCTGGTTTAACATTATGAGTTACATACAGAAAAATCCATAAATAATAATTTAGGAAACAAATTGCTTTACAGGAACAGACTAGAATCACTGACCTCCCTGCACTCATCACATTTGTGAGCTGGTAGTTTTCTTCTCTCGTCCTGTTTCCTGACAACATCCACATGGGCGAAGTTTGGCTGCTCCTTACTGGGGACTCTGTTAAAAGTAAAACTAGCTACAATCTAAAGAAGGGGTTTGTGAGAGTGGAGTGGATCAGAAATACTTGGCTAGTGAAGATGTGTAGGGCCCTAATAAGATAAAAAGTTATTCAATAATATTAACATTTGTTAAAAGTTTTCCCTAATACATGTATAACATTATTTGAACATGGCATACTTTAGTCTCTGTATAAACAGGTTTGTCACAGATCTTAAATTCATTGTTTAGTCATAAACAAGTGTCGTAATTTCACAGTGACATCATAAGTGGTTGACATGTTCAACACATTCAATTTATTCTGCTGACGTTTTAAAAAAAATCAGTCGTTTCATGCAAATAGTTGATATACATCAGTAAAAAATGTAAATATAAGTAATATGGTATATGTATCATTTTAAAACTTTTATCAGGAAGTAAATATGGGTTGGTACATGATCAAATCTACTAAAAAGCCCTTTGGGCTTTATGGGATTTGATCACATTAAAAATGATACCTTATTTCTTAAATATTTGTAAACCAGAGAACTTTTTAGTACATATAATTTATCTATACAGGTTAGACATTTTTTTCCAAGTTATACATTTAATAAATATGTAAGAAATTACATTTGCAATGTTATTGCAAGTTTCTCACTATAAGAAATTTTTACCTATCAAAGCTGTCTTCATGCTTTGGAATAAAACCATCCTCTTCTAGACTTTGGAAATTGTTCCCTGGTTCTAAAAACAGAGGTACTATGGATTTCTGTTTTATTCATGTTTCACTTGCAATGTTATTCCATAATGAATACACATGTGTACTACTACATTACTTATACTGGTATAAATATAAATTCTGTACATTTGGAAAAACTAGAAATATGTCCATAGGACATGAATGCCCCGCCAAGGGTATATTAGTAATGCAACATTTTAACACAAATAGAGAAAAGTGAGGTCAAGGTCAAAGGAAAGGTCAAAAAATATTGCTGCAGTTGAATAGCTTACATCAGTATGTATCAGCATATGACGTTTGATTCAGAAACTAATTTAAGAAAAGTGAGGTCAAGATCAAAGGAAAGGTCAAGATCAAAAAATGTTGATGCAGTTGAAAAGGTTACATCAGTATGTATTAGCATATGAAGTTTGATGAAAATATTATGAATGGTTTCTTTAAAACTGAGCTAAACACTAATTTAAGAAAAGTGAGGTCAAGGTCAAAGGAAAGGTCAAGGTCAAAAAATATTGATGCAGTTGAATAGCTCTCATCAGTATGTATCAGCATATGAAGTTTGACACTAATTTAAGAAAAGTGAGGTCAAGGTCAAAGGAAAGGTCAAGGTCAAAAAATGTTGATGCAGTTGAAAAGGTTACATCAGTATGTATTAGCATATGAAGTTTGATGAAAATATTATGAATGGTTTCTTTAAAACTGAGCTAAACACTAATTTAAGAAAAGTGAGGTCAAGGTCAAAGGAAAGGTCAAGGTCAAAAAATATTGATGCAGTTGAATAGCTCTCATCAGTATGTATCAGCATATGAAGTTTGACACTAATTTAAGAAAAGTGAGGTCAAGGTCAAAAGTAAGGTCAAGGTCAAAAAATGTTGATGCAGTTGAATAGCTCTCATCAGTATGTATCAGCATATGAAGTTTGATAACACTATCTTGAATGGTATCTTTAAAACTGAGCTAAAAACTTATTTAAGAAAATTGAGGTCAAGGTCAAAGGAAAGGTCAAGGTAAAAAATATTGATGCAGTTGAATAGCTCTCATCAGTATGTATCAGCATATGAAGTTTGTTAAAAATATCATGAATGGTTTCATTAAAACAGAGCTAAACATTAATTTAAGAAAAGTGAGGTCAAGGTCAAAAGAAAGGTCAAGGTCAAAAAAATGTTGATGCAATTGAATAGCTTACATCAGTATGTATCAACATATGAAGTTTGATTACACTATCTTGAATGGTATCTTTAAAACTGAGCTAAACACTAATTTAAGAAAAGTGAGGTCAAGGTCAAAAGAAAGGTCAAGGTCAAAAAATGTTGATGCAGTTGCATAGCCCTCATCAATATCTATCAGCATATGAAGTTTGATAAAAATATCTTGGATAGTTTCTTTGAAACTGAGCTTTGAACAGAGCTAAACGCAAAGTGTGACGGAAGGACAGACGGAAGGACGGAAGGACGGAAGACGGACATGACAAACACTATATGCCCCGGCCATATTCATGGCGGGGCATAAAAATAATCATACATGTACTCAAAATGTAAGTGTACTGTATATAAAGTTACAGAATTTTTTTTTCATTTAAAAAATACCTTCTGAGAAGTTTTCAGGAATCCTGATAAATCTTTTCCTGCAACCTCCAAACTTCATACTACAGGGAATAGATTGAGACTCCTCCTCTTCACCACCTGGTGGATCATCCACATCAATACAGGTGGAGGTCAGTGGATTGGTGGACTTCCTCAAATCTTCAATCCTAAAATCCGTCAGGTTTCCAACATGGCTACTGTCCCCTACAGGATCTGGATCTATGTCTGGTAAGTCATCAGATTTTAAACTCTGAGAGTCATCACATAACAAAGAGAGCTGTACCCCAGGATCAACACTACCATTCAGGGCAGGCAGCATAGACATCTGACCTTGGGATGCCTCTGTAGGTCCAGTATTGAGTGATCCTGGTCCAACCGTTTCATCAGGATCACAGTCAATAGAGGGACTTTTTTTATTTCGTCTTTTGACTTTAAGACTATTCTGTCTTTGTTCATTGTTTTTACATTTCCGTGGTGTTAAAGGTCTCTTGAAGGGAGAGATATTTTCTTTCTCGATTCTTTTCAAGTCAGAAGTTTCAGAACTCTTCCTTCCCGGATTATGTGACACATCTTTCAGTGACAGTTCTATTGCTTTTTGGATATTCTCTGTTTCTGTTTTTTCTGGCTGTGGTTTGGAAGGCATATTCATAAACACCTGACTTAGTGTGCTTTGTCTCATGGTTGGGGAATCCTTTGCTGCTGGTTTTGAAGCATTCAGCCAATCCTCGCCAGCTTCCATTTTCTTCTTCCTTTCCTGAGAGATAGTCAATTTGCTTTGATTCAGTTTCCCTTTTCGTCTACCCTGAGACAGATTTTTAAAATTTTTAAATGAAGTGTTGGCAGCAGGAGATGAGATACAGTCCTCATCAAAGAGCCTTGTCTGTGCTGGACTGGTCTGGTTCTCTGTACTCCTTGTGACCTTCAGCAATAATGGAGACTCGGCATCATCATCTCCACAAGCTTCCTTCCTGTTTACATCAGGGGACTCCATATTGGATTTTCTGTAAATCTGGAATATTGGAGAGGACTGAATATACCCATCACCTTTCTCTCCTAAAGATATAATTTCCTCTGATGTTTTTACCTTCTTGTCTGTGAGTATAGTAGATTTGTTTGCACTATCATGGTTAGCACTATTAGACAAGCTCTCTTTCATGCTCCTTTCCTCGTCCTTTTTCTTTGGTGATTTGACAGTGTCTGAATCCGTGGAGGATGGACTGAACAGAGAGCTTCTGAGACTGTAACGATTTCCCGTCACCTCGTGGGTCATGTCAGACTCACTGTCTGATGTTGAAGTTCCTTTCCCCACAGCCTCTGTATCTGGAACCCTCTCCTCTTTGTGACAGAACCCCTCACTCTCAACGTTCTCTGGCAAACCCTCCTGATACACAGGGATGATATCAGGATCACAGGTTTCAGGCACCAGGATATGGAGAGGTGTTTTTCCTAGCTCCCCACTGGACTGTTTTAGACGTTTGTTTTCAGGAGAAGGATCCTACAAGAGTTTGTCTCATATATATTGTCTTAATTAAAGGTCTTAATTTTTAGGTCTGCATGTTTTATTTTCAAAAGCCATATCTAATTATATTATATCATATTTTGAAAATTAAGCTCAGTACTATAATCAAACTTAAAACACTTTACATGCCATTACTGTGCTGTAAACTAACCTCTGTATATCTGTTACGTTTCCGAGACTTGAGGCGTAGTTTTGGACCTTTTTCATTACCAGGGCTGACTTTGGAGGCTTTATCTCCATCCTCTGAGCTGGAGCCTTGCTGTTTACTATCACTTGTCCCCCCAGCTGATTTTTGTGCCATCAGATCAGGTTTGTGTGGAGTATTGCGGCTTGTTGAGTCTGGACTCTCACTCCTCAGACTGTAATTTAGAGAGACCTTCTGCTTCCTTCTTGTTTTGTTGGGGGTATTGCTACAATTATAGGATTCTGTATCAATACTCAGCTAATATAACTGATATTCAAAACACTTTTGATAATTTCAACCCACTAATTATAATACATGTATGTACAGTTTTTGGACAACTTGAAACACTTCCAACCTGTCACTTGTTGCATGCATTTTATACAGTTACATGTACGAGGGGCATTTCAAAAGTTCTGGCATCTGGTATATAAAATTTTAACTATGTTATGGATTAAATGACTCTGATACCACTGTAAAGCTAAGGCAAATATGCATTAGTAGTGACGTCATTTTACATTCAAAATGACATATAGGTCTGCTAAAATGACGTCATAATTAGGTATACTCTGTATACTGGGCGTAAAAATGACTGATAAGGAGAACAATTTTTTTGTTGAGCAAAGAGCGTATTGCAAAATTCGCTAATTGCTTGGCTTTACAGCAACAGAAATAAAAGCTGATTTAGATGTAGTATACAGAGAGCATGCTCTTTCATATCAAGCAATAGCAAGATGGATAGTTCAATTTAAAGAGGGTAGAAATTCAATTGAAGATGACCCCCATTCGGGGCGTCCAGTTTGTGCATATGGCGAAAAAGAAATCGTCGCTGTTCAAAATATGATAGCTGATGATGCTAAATATACAGTTGAGGAAATAGCAGACTTAACTAACATTAATTCGTCAGCAGTTTTTCGTATTTTAAAGGAAAACTTAAAGCTTAGGAAAGTCTGTGCTAGATGGGTGCCGCATCTTCTCTCGGAAGAGCAAAAGCGCATCCGGGTAGAAATGGCTTCACAGTTACTAACAATTTATGAAGATTGTGACCAAAGGCGAATAAATGAGATTGTAACTGGTGATGAAACATGGATATATTTTTTTGAACCGGAAACTAAGCTCAATAATAATGTTTGGATCGGTGAAAATGATACAAGGCCTCAAATTGCACGCAGAAACCGGTCTGTCTGGAGAGTAATGTATGCCTTATTTTTTGATTCTAAAGGCCCTGTTGCTCAAGTTCCGGTTCCAGAACACAGCAGTGTTACTGGTCAGTTTTATGCAGAGAATGTCTTGTCTCAGGTTGTAGAGCACTATAAAACCACCCGACCAACAACCAGTACTAGAGGAATAAAGCTCCTCCATGACAACGCACCTGCCCATAGATCAGAGGTAGTAACCAAATATTTAAAGGAAAATGGTATTGCCGTTTTACCACATCCACCCTACGGTCCTGACCTAGCTCCATGCGATTTTTGGTTGAATGCCGTTATCAAAGAAGCCCTCCAAGGACGGCGATTTGAAAGTCGTCATGCAGTCGGAAGTGCTGTATTCCAGTGTATGAAGCGTATACTGAAAGAGGACTATAGGGCAGCATTTTCCACGTGGATTTCAAGACTGAAAAAGTGTGTCCAGGTCAACGGAGACTATGTTGAGGGATTGATATACATGTAATTTAATTTATGATAATGACGCTCATTAATTTACCGCACACCAGTTGCCAGAACTTTTGAAATGCCCCTCGTATGTGTATGTTACTAATATATTGCAGGTGTATTAATATACTTAATATCAATTAAATTTTGAATTCTACACTATATATTTAAAAAATAAATAGTAATGTGATGTTGCCTGCCTTTACAGATTTACTATGTTAATTAATTAAAGCTGGTTAATTAGAACATAATTATCATCATGTAACACTAATCATAAATGTGTCTTACTTTACTGAGTCCCATTGCTTCTCTGAAGTAGCATTTCTTGTATATTCAAACAGCTGATTTTCTGAGTGAATAAAATATAAAGCAAATTAATATTCAAATATTTCAACATGTTCAAGTTGAGCTAGCAAATTTAATTTTTTGCACAATAAATTTTAACTGGAATAATTGAACTAATTTTCTAGTTAAATGTAAGCGAATACAGTGTACCTTCATTTATCATATATCTTCTTTATCCAATGATTGTCATCAGGGAAAAAAAAAGATTTTAAACATCTTTGAACCTAATCAAGACTAAGTAATGCTCTTTACCACTGACTTGTCACAGAGCATAAGTTGGCTAGATTTACTTACCGAGATCAGTGATTCGTCTGTCCTTTTCCTTTAGATTATTACTGTAAGCCTCTGTAAGACTGTTGTTCATTCGCTGGAGGTGATCACACATCTTACAACTCAAGCTTGGATTCTCTCTGAAATTTTCAAAGTTGAGTTTGGTTAAATACTTCTGATCTTACATTTAATTTTTTTTTCATTTTCTTACTATAATTCTTTACAAATACTTTTCTTCTTTCTCACAATCTAACATGCATTCATCTGACAATTTATAGAAACCTTTGATATCACGAGAATCTCAGCAGAGAATACTTTGAAATTAATGTATCAATTTTATTGTATGTGTGCATAATTTACACTGACCATACCAGAAGAAAATTTTCGATTACAAGTAAATATTCCCGCATATCGATGCCCTTATGTTTTATTCAACATTTAAAAATACATTCAATATGATAGTTTCATGGAAATCACCCAAATGCTTGGGGTTATTGCTACTGATACACAATTAACAGAACTTCAATATCTATGTTTACAGTTGTTAGATTTGTAAGAATCCCCAGCATTGTGCTTAATAAAAAAATGTCTCGTCTTTGGCAAAGATTAAAAAGCTCATTTCCGCAAATGTTATATTTAAGTAAGGCATAGCTTCATATCAAATATATGTTTGGCAAGATCCAATTTAAACATATTAAATGAACTATTATATATATGAATATGCCTTATATTTAACAACTTTACAGTTGGTTGAAGCATGTTAAGAGACACAGGAATCTCTATATGTATCATCCAACCAGATAGGCTTACAGTGCCTTTTGAATTGATCTGCTCTAAAAAATTCTAACCTTGTCACTTATCATAAAATATAGGTTAGATGCACTATACAAAGCAATGATTTATATAAAACATGCCTAAGATTCATCATCCAGGCAAGTTTGGTCAAGGTAAGGCTTATAATTACTTTGGGAATGAACTTGCTCCAACTAGAAGTACTGTGAGCGAGCTCACAAAATAATACCCCCCCCCCCCCCACTGCATTTTTTTTTCAAAGTGTCTATTTGCAACTTTGTTAATATGAACCTTGAACTTGCTAAAATGACCTTGGTTTTAAAAACTCATCCATTGGTCATAAAATAATTTTTGAGTGAAATATGGATATCCAATGTTTCTCCATTACAAAATTATGGACCTGACATGAATTTTACACTTTTTCTGCCAGTGACCTTTAACTTGCCACAATGACCTTGGGTCAAGGTCAAGACATTCTTTAAACAAATTATCTTTGAAGTTTCAACTTCCAACAAAAAATTTATACTTTTACTGCCAGAGACCTTGAACTTGGTAGAATGACATTGGGTCAAGGTCAAGACACACACCATCAAAACAAAAGTAATATTTGTGGGAAGTATGAACTTCCAATGTTAATCCTGTAGAAAATTATGGACTGGAAATGAATTTAAAACATTTTCTGCCAGTGACCTTGAACTTGTCAAATGACACGGGGTTAGATCATGATACATCCTTCTTTGTACCAAGTATCAACATCCAATTAGCCTCCATTTATAAGTTATTGACAGGACAAAAATAAAACACTTTTTTTGCCAGTGACCTTGAACTTCCTGGAATGACCTTGGGTCACAGTCATAATATAACCTTAGATCATATGCAATATTTGTGATAAGTGTGAGCCTTCAATGATCTCCATTACAAGATATGATCAGGGCAGAAATTAAACATTTTTCTATAAGTGACCTTGAATTTGCTCAAGTGACGTTGGGTTAAGGTCATGCCATACCTTCACTCACAAGCAATCTTTGTATGAAGTTTGAACTTCCAATGTTTCTCAATAAAGAAGTTGTAAACCGGACAAAATTTTTTTAATACTTTTTTCAATGCCAACAACATTGAACTTGCCAGAATGACCTTGGGCGAAGGTCATGACACACCCATAGGTCATTAACAGTCTTTGTACTGAGTATGAGCTTCCAATGATTCTCCATTACAAAGATATAGGCCAGACAAAATTCCTCAGACAGACTGACAAGGTGATTTCTATATTACCCCCCCAACTCCATTTGCAGTTGGTATCAAAACTGTAACAAAGCAGGCAAACAAAGGGGGAAGTGGTGGGAGGGTGCCTCAACTTTGTTGAGGTAAGCCAATCACTTTGTCAGTTAGACATATACATGTACATGTATGTAAGTTTTTACCTGTGGCTTTCTTTGAGATCTTGAATTTGCTCTTTCAAACTCTCTACTGTGCTCTGGAGGCTTATGTTTTTGGATTCAAGAGTTTTCCATTCATCTTGCAATCTAAATAAAATGAAAGAATGTTATTATAAAATCTTTTTTTATTAGCTGTTAACTATTTGAATAAATTTTGTTCGAATTTTTATACTAACCTTTGTTTTTGGTTTTGCTGAACATCACATTTCTGTTTCCAATGTTCAGCTTGATGGGTGAGATCTGAAATGTTTATTTCTTATGAACATACCTAACTCTTTAAATGTGAATATATATTTGGGTAGCACTACATTATTTTTAATGGAGAATATTTCACATAACCAAATTAAACAAAATTCAACAATATCTTGAACCTCTGACTGGCCATAAAGACATGAATATCACTAATAGTAAGAACTCAATCAGATTACAATTCAAGTCTTGTAGAAAAAAGTCCTCCTATATCAAACTTTAATTTTAGCAAGTTCAACACTGGAAAAAATGTCAGTGTATGTAGAATGGTCCCTCCGACCATCTAATGACATTAATATCAAATGATAAGACTTATTCAGGTCTGGCACAATCTCTTGATTAATTAAGCTATATATATAGCTTGAATTAGCTTTATAGCGAGCACAGCGACCTGTAACAACAACCCCTGGGTGAAGAGAAAATTAGGACTTTGCACAATGATCCAAATGAATTTTTTTCCACAGTAACCTCTGGACCCACAATCCTTTGCGAATTACACATTTCACAGCAAACTACATTCTCGCGGTAACAACAAAAGCTCACCAAAAAATAAACTCACCTTGATTTTAATGGATACTATAGATAAATAGTAGATTAAAATGTTCTTTGTTAAAATTTGCACTTTTCAAACTGCAACTAACATGCGACTTCAGAATCTAGACCAGGGATGGGGTAATTGTAATCGAGTAATCGTAATCGATTGTAATAATTACTTTTTTTCAAGTAATCAACAGTAATCTGTAATGGAAGAGATTTTTGATTACTTGTAATCGTAATTTAATCGATTACAGCTAAAATTTTCAATGTAATTATAATTACATTTTCGATTACATTGTACTTTCGATTATTTTATACATAAATGGATGTTATTATGGGGAATTATTTCCAGTCAGTCACACATAAATATCAAATATAAGCCACCTAGTGTAATGTTTGGATTTCCTAACTTTTATTATCATAAGTTTAATAATGTTCTCAATAAAATTTGCATAGTAGACCTACTGGTCTAGTATCAAATAATTCAGAAGTGTATTTCAACCATTTATTAATAAAATATACAGATTTTTCGTATGCATTTTACATTTGACCCACTGTTCTCTTGCTGCATGTCCTTTTTCATATTTCAGATGTTGAAAAACTTTGTCTTGCAATAGAAAATTATAAATAGCAAAAACAGATTTAAGTGATGTATTAAGTATAAATAATTTGGTAAATAAACTTTACATTGTACTCAAAAAAAAAAAGAGGATGGAAATACTTATTCATATCTGAAAATGTTTAAACAACTTCAAACTTGTGTTTTAGTAACTTTAAAATTTGCAAAATCATTCTCATGTTTTCATTCAAAATTGTAAGGTTGCAGTTTTTATATCAGTGAGAGGTTATAAGTCTCTGTAAGAGAGGGAGTAAATGTCACATTGTTTGCTTAATTGGCTAATTAATTGACTGAGACATTCCTGATCATTTGCAGATAATGAGGTGTAAACTGTAAACTACCTAAGTGTTTAACTTTCATTCCATTGAAGACAAACAATATTATTATTTAAAACAATTAATAGCTCTCAAAACACTTATTTCAATACAGAATGAAATTGTGCCATTAGTTAAATTACTTAAAGACACATTTAATATTTACATGTTAACAGTTTATTACTAAGAGTTTGTTCTAATTTACTTATTTTTGGGAAAAAGACACGTACAGGAATGTTTAATGTGTACTGTCAACATACGGGCAGCCCAAATACTTACAATAAAGTAATTCACAATAAAATATTAAGTAATTTTTTCAACAAGTCAATAAATATGGAGGTTCAGATCCAACATTGAAAGGAATAATTAATTCCTTGGCATATTTTATTGTAGGAATCATGTCTCCACTTCCCATGGTAGAGAATCCCTCATTTGGGCATTTAGTGAGAATGTTAGCCAGAATAAAACCTTAAAAGAATCTGCACTGAAACTGCAGGAACACATTCAAACTTCAGTGGATAACATCAACATTTACCATTTAAATATTGCTTTGATATTTGAAGGGATAAAAACTTGGAAGTAATCGATTATTAATCGATTACATCTTCCAAAGTAATCGATTACAATCGATTACAGGACAAAAATGAGTGTAATCGATTAATAATCGATTACACAAAATTCCTCTAAGTAATTGATTATTAATCGATTACATTTTTCAGTAATCATGCCCATCCCTGATCTAGACGTTCTAAATGTCACGTACGTTTTGAAGTGGAGGATCTAAATTAAAACTGAATCAGTATCTGCATGCACTCGCCCTAACAGTCGCACCATCGACATGCTTACTGATTTTTTTCAAGATACAACCCTTTAAGAAATAAAAGAATAACTTATTGAATAAGAATATTATTAAATTCGAAAAAATTAACTTGCCATACATTGTATTAAATTACAAACAAAAAACTGTTATTGTTACCATTGATTTCTTTGGTGTGAAGCATCAAGGCCTCCTTAATGACATCAGAACACTTCCTCACCATAAGGAATCTTTCTGTGTGCAGTCTACTGGACTCCTACAGATGAAAATGTACTCCTTCATTCCTGTGGTTTGAATATGTTGACATAATTATAACAATTAACTTTTCACACATTTTCAAAATAGCTCAACAATCTGTGGCTTTAATTATGGGTTAAACTTACCATTTTCCTCATTCAGTCATTGTATTGTGTAAGCATTTCAACGTTTGTTTTGTCTTTCGCGCTTGCAAAATTCAACCTTGAATATCGATCCCGATGTAAATATAGTTTAAAAAAATAATATTAAGCTTTTCCTTCGCCAAAAATTATCATTATCATATTGTTTGAATTAACTATAGATTCAAGATAGGGGAAGTTTCTAGTATGCCGGTCCCCAGAATCACGCGATTGCGCATGAGCAGTTATTTCCCTTGCCGTTGCTATGCAGAATGTAAACAAACCGCCATTTTCCCCTCGCTTCAACAAAACGCATTCGATCGAGTGATTAGGGTTAGGGTATATTGTTTTAAGATTGGAACTGTTTTATAAATCCACTCTTAAATCTTCCTGACTTCGGGCTAATTCATGTAATTTTTGCTTACAAAAGGCACTGCCAAGTGCCTTTTGTGACCAAAAACTTGCATGAATCAGCCTAATGTCGAACCGTGCCGATATACCATCTTATAGGAGTAAAGCATGAAACATGCAAAACTTAAACAAACCGTTAATTAAATATGGCACTGTATGCGACCTACGGATTAGGGTTAGAATATAAATAGCTCGGATATTGTAACTGTTTTACATTTTGGCAAGTAATTGGTAAAAGCGACTTACCGTTTACTTAGCTCGATATCCTAACCTCGTAATGTCCATATTCAGAATATTTTTTCTTTCAAATCAATGGTGATGCACAATTCAATCAACCAATTACTAGTAATTAGTTATCACTTGTTAAATCCCTGCATTTCTCACAAAAATCTTGCAATTTTAGTAGCATTTCACTTTGAGTCCTATCAACTACTTCTTCATAAGTCTTCATTACGTCAAAACACAAGTGACGCACGTCATGAATATTTATGAGATTACGTCAAAAGCTGATCATGTGACCACATTCCTAAACAACGCAAAATGGAGTTTTATCTACTAAACAAGTACGTTATTTTACAAAACCTTTTAATTCTCATTTAAAAAACTGTGTTTAAAAACCAGTTTTTTAAACCCAATTTTTCACAAGGAACACGATTTTTGGCTCAATTTTGCGATTTGTGGCCTTTTTTATCGATTTTGTCGATCGCTCACGCGATCGTATTATATTGTACACCGCCTTCGGCGGCACCTATTTTAGCGCCATATTTATAGGGACCGGTATACTAGAAGTGTTCCCAAGATAGAAACTTATTTATATTTTGAACACACATGTACAGTAATCTCTTTATATAATAATTTCGGGTTCGGAATTCAGAAACGCAAACCAAAGCCACGGGAAGTAAACAAAGTTGTAGCTTGAATCTTGGTTTGTCAATTTTTTGTTCATTTTTAATGCAGGTTAACCGTAACAGGCTTTTCATTTTAAATATTTCGTATCATTGTCTTTCTTTTTAACCGATTTTGAATGGTATGTTGAATATTCACTGTTCATTTCGTAACGGCAAAATAGTAGATCATTGATGTTCGCGGTGGTTGTTGCAAAGATTTTTGGAGATGATATGTTTTGGTGAACATTTTTGATTAAGAAGACTTTGACAGCAATTGTTCAATTCTGATTAATGAATTATCGATCCTTTGACATCAGAAACATGTCTATATAGTTACAGTATATATGCGCATTCTATTCAAAATTTCTTACTTTCATTTACAGGATTAACATTTTAATTTGATGAATTGTTACATGACATGCTGCAAAATTTTGCACATGTAGATTCAGATGTAAATAAGTGTGCCAAAAATTTACACCTTTTATTTGTATATTAGAGATTGATCAAAGCCTCCATACTTTATATATATATCTTTTCCAAAGTTCTAAAATACACCAGATGGTAGCCTGAACTTAATTAGTAGAATAGTTGCACAAACGAAGCAACAAACATACATATGGAAAGGGGTCTGGCTACCACCAAGGCCCCAGCAGGTCATGGGCAGGTGTGGGATGGAGTTTCTGCAGCTGGGGACAAAGCCCTCATAAGCTTCTGAGAATCAGCAATTAAAAAACATAATTTGGACACAAAGTGACTGTAATACATGTATTACATTTATCACATAGAAGAATAACATTGAAAACTATATCTAAAATATATTTTTTGGTTTTAGAGGGGGCACATACTGGGAGCCTCCCTCCCCTTTTTAATCCACACCTGTTCAACACAACAGGGTTTGACTGTATTGTACAGTTGTATATTTTGACTCTTCAGTAATAGTTGTGTGTTGATTGGGATAATGTGGTAATTTTTAGAACTCGTCATGGATGGAGCACAGAATGACGATGGAGACGAGGGCTTTGCTGAAGATAATACGCCAGATGATGAACTGGTCCCCATGGATGTTAACCTGACAGCTGGAGCGGAGGGGGAAGGTTGTGTCAGATTAATTTCAGTCATTAATGAATTTTTAAAATTATTTATTAATTCACAAAATGAAAAAAAATTAATTCTTTTTAATTTGGAATCAATTCTATATTTTTTCTCAGACTCTTTTTATTTATTAATTTCCCTGTGTGATTTCTGTACCAATAAATTGATGAAATCAATGTAGGTGGAAAAAATTTTTTCTCAGAAAATTTCGATTTCAATGCTGAATTTTCAGAATCTATTTTCCAGAATGCATAAAAAATATAACTGCTTTCTGAAGGTTAAAAAAAGTTTTGAGTCAGGCTATTTTTAGCCAGTCGCTCGAGAGAGGGCAACCAAACAATTTTTTAAAGATTGCTTTATTGTAGATATTGCAATCATTATTTTTTCCTCATTGTCATAATTAACAGATGAAGTATTAAATGGACCAAAGGCAACAGTATTCTATACAACCGGTGACCAGGGTGAGGAGAAGGAATTCTCTAAGGAGGAAGTTGAGGAGATGATGAAGTCAGATGCCTATCAGAGGAAGATTGACACGTGCCATTTGTATGTTTCCTCAAATAAATCACACATTACTTTGCTCCTCTGAATGACATATTAGTAGAGCAAAAGTTTTAGATCTTGTGCATTTCAAAATGTAATGAATTAAATGACAAATTTTATGCTTTTACATGTATATGTGTACGAATTATTTATCATTTTCATGTTAAAAGATCGACAGTGTTCAACTATATAAGATTGAAATTAAGTCACTCTTACTGCACTTAGACTAGTTTATCTGAATTAAGTTTAAGATTAAAAAAATATATATACATAGGTTTAAAACCTTTGATGTCAGTAAGCATGTATTCCACCATTTTCATGGATGTATTTTGTTTCTCGCGGAAACAACATTTTATTATTTTAGGTTCCAAGTGAATCGCTGTGCATCAGCATCCTGTAGGAAGTTTCAGAACAGGCTTAATAAGTCTGAATTTTTTTATTAAACTTTGAGATATTAAATGTCACTTGATTTCAGATGTGGTAAATGCTGGTATGATGGGAAATCGAGTCAGAATTGTCGTGAATGTGGTGGTTACCCGTTACAGCGACCTTGTCCTATATGTGACGGTCGCTGTAAAAAGATCTGGACCAGGAATGTCAAGTCCGTAAGTAGTTGGATAAGGTTATAGACAGGTGTCAGTAAAATCATTGAAAAATGTTATTCCTTTCATTTATTAACTCACCTGAGCTGAAAGCTCAAGTAAGCTTTTCTCAGCACATTTTGTCTGTAGTCCATCTGTCCATCCGTCTGCCTGTAAACTCTTCACATTTTCGACTTCTTCTCCAGAACCACAGGGCCAATTTCAACCAAACTTGCTAAAAGCATCCTGAAGGGGATTCAAGTTTCTTCAAATGAAGGGCGATGCCCTCTTTCGAGGGGAGATAATTAAGAATTAGTGAAAAATTAATAGCATCTTTTAAAAATCTTCCTCTCAAGAACCACAGGGTCAGGAAAGATGAAACTCAAGTGGAAACATCCTCAGGTAGTGTAGATTCAAGTTTACTCAAATCATGACCCCTAGGGGTAGGGTGGGGCCACAATTGAGGATCAAAGTTTTACATAGGAATATATAGGAAAAATCTTTAAAAATCTTCTTCTCAAGAACAGCAAATCCATGAGGAGTCATATTTATATGGAAGCATCCTCAGGTAGTGTAGATTCAAGTTTGTTCAAATCATGACCCCTGGGGGTTGGGTAGGGTCACAATGGAGGATCAAAGTTTTACATAGGAATATATAGGAAAAATCTTCTTCTCAAGAACAGCAAAGCCATGAGGAGTCATATTTATATGGAAGCATCCTCAGGTAGTGTAGATTCAAGTTTGTTCAAATCATGACCCCCGGGGGGGTAGGGTGGGGTCACAATGGAGGATCAAAGTTTTACATAGAAATATATAGGAAAAATCTTTAAAAATCTTCTTCTCAAGAACAGCAAATCCATGAGGAGTCATATTTATATGGAAGCATCCTCAGGTAGTGTAGATTCAAGTTTATTCAAATCATGACCCCAGGGGTAGGGTGGGGCCACAGTGGAGGATCAAAGTTTTACATAGAAATATAAAGAAAAAATCTTTAAAAATCTTCTTCTCATGAACAGCAAAGCCATGAGGAGTCATATTTACAGGTTACGTTCGGTATCTCGAACACTGATATGTCGAATACTCCGGATATGTCGAAGTAAGTCCTCAGTCCTGGCCTTATTTACTATATAAATGATTGAAAAAACTTCAGATATCTCGAACACGGTAATCTTGAATACTCCGGTTATCTCGAAGTACTTGTCAGGTCCCAAGTGTTAATTTTACCTGGGTTATGTCGAACTCAGGTCTATTTTCCGCTCTGTTAATCACAAGTGTTCCCCAGGCAGGCAGTCTTAATTAATTGCCTCGAGGTAAGTACTATTTCACACCTACCAAAACCAGGTAACCGATCACTGATCGATAATTTCAGGTGTATAAACCAGTTTATTTAGCAATTTATTTATTCATTAACACAGGCCGCTTCCCGATGACACGATAATTAATTTACAGCTTTGATATCATCGAAATCGGCGAGTGCAGACCTTGTATAAACAAAGTCACAGCTCTAGCGACCTAACTGCATTTAATAATGCACGCTGTAGAATTACATTTTTCTTTAAAAATAAAAACAGCAGACTTCAAAGTAAAAAGTATTTGATTAATTGAACAATTATTTTCCTAGTTCTATGTATAAAAATGTGACGACTGAATTTTATCGTCAGTAAACACAATGTCTCAAGACAACTCGGATAAGCAATCCAATGAAGGACCCGGTCTAAATCCCGGGGGGATAGTTGGTTTTTTTGGGGTGTAAAAAGAAAATTAAAGGTCCATACAATTGAAACCAAGTTTCAAGTCATCTCTGAAGTAAAGAAGAGTATCCTGAGTAAAGCCGCCATAGCCAAGAAATACGACATTTCCACCAACACTTTGTCAACGTGGCTAACATTTGTGTTTGATTTTTAAAATGTTCACTTGATTCTGTATGAAATAAATAAATTTAAAAAAAAATTCCGGCATTTACTCGTCTCCAATATAGGCTATCGTTTACGGTTTCAAATTTACACAGCGTAAGCAACATCCTACTATGAGTAAACACCATGTAGTTGATCGATATCGCAGAAAAAAGACTTAAAGTAAGAATGCAATTCAGTTTGAAATGAATAGTTTATAGAAAACTTAATTTAGGAAACATTTTAAGTCTTTTCTTCTCTCTTTGCAAATAGTTTTTGTTTTGAAAGAATAAAGTGCAATATTCAGTACATGTGTAAAGCATGTGAGGTATATTGAATCGTTCAAAAGAACATCGAAGTCAAACTTCGGATATCTCGAACACCCGGATATCTTGAAGTTTTTTATAAGTCCCAACGACTTTGACATATCGAGAGTCGACTGTATATGGAAGCATCATCAGGTAGTGTAGATTCAAGTTTGTTCAAATCTTGACCCCCGGGGTAGGGCGGGCCACAATGGAGGATCAAAGTCTTAAATAGAAATATGTAGGAAAATATCTTCTTTTGAAGAACTGCAAAGCTATGTTTAGTCATATTTATATGGAAGCATCCTCAGGTAGTGTAGATTCAAGCTTGTTCAAATGGTGACCTGAGGGATAGGGAGGAGCCACAATGGGAGATCAAATTTTTACAAAGGAATATATGGGAAATTTTTTTTAAATCTTCCCAAGTACAACAAAGCCATTTGTAATATTGACATGGAAGCATCATCAGATAGTTTAAAATTCAAGCCCCCACCCCCCACCCCCACGGTAATCTTTTCAATACTGAACTGATTTGTGCTTTTGCCTAGCCAATGTGCTCAGGTGAGCAATGTGGCCCATGGGCCTCTTGTTTATTCTTTTTTGTGAAATGGCAGGTAGGATTTTATATACAGATTTATGTACTTTGGTAATTTACCAAAGCAGTATAGATCAAAATGTCAGTGTTGAGATAAATAATCATTTGTAAACCTAATTGATCATAGAGATGAAGTATTTTTAGTGGATGCTTAATTAACTTATACACACATGAACTTAGCCTTTATATCTCTTTCAGTCTCATTCTTTCCACGAGGCACACTGGGAGGGTACATGTAACTTGCCTCCAAATCTTCAGAGAGCATATTTCATGGAGAAATTTACAGATTCCTCAGAGAAGGTCATAATGGAGGGAATGCAAGATTTATCGACAACATAATACAAGTTCTTCTTGAAGCAAGTCAAGGACTTTTCTCTTTTTTCTGACTGAATAATGAAGCCAAGTTGTTGACTTTTGTATGGATCTTAGCATAATAAGTGTATTTATAGCTTTAAAAAAGCCTGACTAATGTGATAATTTTATTCATTTTGCAGACAATTTATAGATGTTTTGATACATATTTCTAACCATTTGAGTTGCTGGTTTAACTATCAGATGTGGTTAAATGTGCATTACTTTTTATGCTATATTTTTCATTCAGTGCTGTGCTTAAGTTATTTTCATAGAGAATTGAATGATTCCACACATACCAGGACATATGATTTGGATGTATAATTTTACTTGTCTTTATATGTATAAATTTACTGAAAGCTGCTTGAAGAGGGATTAATCTATCTGTAATGCTGAGCTTTATGGATTTAATGTATGGAATAAGAGACAACTTTTGTATTTTAATATGGAAGTTATTTCTCTTCTCTCAATAAGATTTGTTAAGCATGAGTGAATTGATGTGCCAGAATCAGAAAGTTAAAGTAAAAGAAGTCTTAGAGCATTGTGGAGAACATACTGCATGTGGACTGATTTTTAGATGGATTCATATTTAGGCGGTGCCATTTTTCAAGATAATACCAAAGAATACTTATTCATATTCAATTCATAATTGCACCAAGTAATCAATTAGCTGCATATGTTTTAAATTCTGAACATGCTGAAATACAGGTAAGTAAATGTATAGAAAAATTAGCAAGACAAAAAAAGTTTAGTAAGTACAAAGAGAGATGACGTATCTTTATAAAAGAAGCACCATGTGTAGATTAGATTTAAATGAAGCATATTTACTCGTGTGCCAATGAACTAAAAATCGAGGAGGGAAGAGGGGAATTAAAAAATGATTGACATGTTTTGTAATGCGTCTTTCAGTATGTGTGTTGTAGTATTGTCTATGTACCAAAATTCCATTCTTTGTACAATTGCTTGAAAAAATCAGATTTGTATATTCGTAAGCTGTTTGTAACTAACTATGATCATAGCATTGATTAAGAGTTCACTTTCTTCAATTATTATGCTATAAATGTGCTTTTTTACTGAAAGCAACTGATGTGGATTAACAAGTTTTTTAAAATTGCAAGAGTCAACACATCTACCTTAATAGCTTATTAAATCTAAGTGCATCTTTTTTATATAGTCAATGATTAATTTATGCAATCAAGATTGTTTACTGCCAATTTTTTTCATAATTTATATTCTATATATTTATAGAAATTTTATAGGAAAGAGGATGATCATAACATCTTAATAAAGTCTTTTTTTTAACTTATGATCATGAGGCATTTATAGCAAGCTACAGGTTAAAATGCATTCACTCAGCTACATGTACAAAGTAGAAAAGGGGGAGTTATAAACCCATGGCTTGTGATGATTCTATGATGTGGGGGTAGAGGTTATAATTCATTCTTACATGCATGAAGTATTAGCTGTATATTTATATTACTTGCTTCTTTTTTTTGAAAAATCAATTTCTGTATACCTGGTATTGGAATATGGAGATTTAATGTCTTGATTAATAAAAACAATATTTAATATATCATTTCTTGTTCTTAATTTTACACAGAGATGAAACTGATAGTGATAAAATCAGTGACACAATGACAAATTTTATTGTAATAACATGAAAGCAAACAGAGATACACAAGTAAAAAGTGTTCTGTGTACATACACAAAAGAACGACTTAATAAACATCTTTTGACAAAATAAGAATGTAGTTTTACACTTTTTTGCTTGTATAAAACATAATCAAAACAAAAAATAGTAATAAAATCAACTAATGAGCTCATTCTTTAACTGGCAACTCAAATTGCATTATTAACTCTTTCTACAATGAGCACATTTAGATTGGGAATTCTAAAGATGATAAATAAATATATAAATAAAATACATCTGATTCTTAAGTTAAAGTGACAAACTTCAAAATTTTTAATATGTGTTAAAAAAAATTAGGCTTCCACTCATTAAAGAATTTCAATTACTTTGTCAAATAAATTATCAATGTGCATACATGAAACATGCATTGCTCGAGCGTGTTGGTAAACAAAAATTTCATTTAAAAAAATACTCAAATATCTACCTGACACTATTTTGTTAACTACAACTTGCTCAACACACTTTCTTGTCACGTGAAACCTGTTAATAATTCTATTGATACTTGGAATGTATTTCTGTAAACAGTGGTATCCTCCTGCTCACACATTGTTACCAAACTGCATTATTGTCTTAACTTCCCTTTCCCCATGAAATGAGGGATTTACATGTAGTTCCTTTTTTTGCAATCATCAGAGTCACTGTACTTTGGATAAGAAGGAACTATTCACTCGCATGCCAAGTAATTTTTTTTCTCGAAATATTTTCAAAATTATGAACCATATCACTTCAAATATACACATTTTCTGATGTGGAGATTAAGATCTGAAAAGTGTGTATAAGCTATACGATATGTGACGAAGCACGTGCTTCGTTTACAGATTTTAAAAGAGAATGGTGTTTAAGTGAATATATGAAATAGCCGTCTAGGTTTTTTGGATTTTATATATGCATTAGAGCATATGGTAATGAATGTATCTTCAAAGTATGTTAAACTGGGGGGGGGGGGGGACTGGGGTTTTCATTGCGCAATTCTTTGCGCAGCATAGTAAAATCAAGCGAATTTACACTTTAAATGCATTTATTTTTACATAATTTATCAGATTAACCAAAATTAAGAAATCACAGATCAAAAATCTTATTACAATATTAAAAAATGAATTTAACGATTTTTTTCAAACTGATAGGTAGATGGACGTCGTAATAGCGTGTTTGTGGCGTTATGATAAAATGAAGTTCTTTAAGAGGGGGTCATAAATAATGTTATAAAAGAAAAGGTATAAAATATGTGCTTATGAAAATTTAAATACAGGAATTTTGAAAATTTCAAAATTATTTTCTGATATATTAATTATATAATCATTAGTATCTGTCATATTTTATAGTATCCATAAAAAAGGGAAAATTTCGTAAATTTGTATATTTTGAGATGCCCCTCGGGAAACCAGACGATAGATTTTTGTGTTTCTCATATAATGCACAATTTAGTATTACTCATCATATATTACAATTTGAGCAAAATGTCTATTGTAGTATTTGTAAAATATAATATAATGTAATCCTATAGTAAATGTACCTGTATTTTGAGACGGTCCCTAAAAATATCCAGACAATAGATTTTCCCTGAACTTGGCATGTATACTGAAGTCAATGTAATTTTTTACATATAAGATTAAAGAGTTTTTCTATTGTAGTTTTCACACAATAAAACCCCAGTCGTCTACCTTAATTAAAACAATGAGATCTGCATGGAAGTTTGCAAACTCAGGACTGCAAATAGTGAGTCACGTGATCTATCGGCTATAGTAACGTGCCTTCTTTTGCTCTCTCCTCAATGCTTTCCTCTTCTCTTGAATGCCTTGCCCCATAAGGACAATAATCCCGCCCACAAAGGCGAGGTAGCAGGCTGACCAGACAATATCCACGTACCACTCCCCCCAACTCTTTGGAACGATTTCTAGAAGTGTCACAATGAACGTTATCTCGGCATTCTCTAAAACATAAGTTAAAAGTTACCGGTTACTAAAGATGTCTTCAATGAAACCTATTGGCCTGCCATTTGTATCACGTCTACTGAGCCGTGATAGCACAGTGGGGAAACAAATAATAATAATATATTTACCAGGAATGACGTCAGCAACTCCTTTCTCTCCAAATGCCAGATGAGGAGGAATAATAAGTTTCCTCTTTTCCCTGTAAAATAAAAAAAATACAGCTCACACTTAAAACTCGAAATACAATGACTACAAAAACAGAAACAAACTTCAAAGTTGCTTCATCAGACTTTTGCATTTTTTTTTAAATAAAATTTTCTTGAATAGGATCTTGGTCTTAAAGTAAGAAACTAGAATTCTTCTAAAGAAGACACGCTTGTTTGTCTGTTTCTTTACAATTGCAAATTGTATATGAGACACGTTAAGAAAAAAGCCACTCACCCGATGCACATCCCTAATACCCCAGCCTCTAGCCCTGGAGAAAAAAAAATGTTATTACTTTAGAATAGTCCAATTTATTTTACGAAAATGTTTGCGTAGACACAGACATACGTAAAGTATAAAACAGTAACTCCCAATCATGCAGATACTTCAGCTTTGCTTGGTAGCCGTATCTTCACTCAATGCATTCCTCGCAGGCTCGCACTTGCTTCGTTGGACACTTACCTGGTATAACAGCCCCCTTCCCTGTGGGTACCACCAGTGGTTCTTTGTCGGTGGCCCCCTTCTCTCCAGTATTGTGGGAGTCTTCTATATGAACTCCATTTATTAAGCCCTAAAAAAATAAAACAATATATTGTTAGCGAGGTTGTAATTTATAAGAATGTTAGAAATTTAATATTTCATCAAATAATCATTAAAGATGCACTTTAAAACTAACTGATTTACACAATTCTAATAATTATTTCGAATCCAACTAATTTTCACTGACTTGATTTACAAACCTCATAATCGAACACTAGCGTATCTCCGGATATGGCCTTTTTGGCACAGTCCTCGGGCATTTCCTAGCAACGAGAATAAATGTAGAAGTACAGACTGATAGTGGAAGTTTATTTCTGATTTTACAATCAATTTTTTTTTAAATAAACCTAGGCAACTTGCTTTTCGGTTTTTTGTTTGTTTGTTTGTTTGTTTGTTTTTTTTTTTTTGTCCAATAAATCAATACTTGAATTCTTGAAAGTAGGGAGAGAAAAGGTAAGGTTCATTTCTTATATGAAACTCGAAATACAATGACTACAAAAACAGGTAAACGAAACAGTAGAACTTCTATGATTTAATATAAACTCTTGATAGACATTATGCAAGGTCTGTATCGCATGGTGTTAAGAATTTTGTGAAAATATCTGTGAACAAGACAAATTACTCTGGAATTTCTTCAAGTTCGCCTTTCAAAAGGGGAAAAGAGAGATCAGGGGGGAAAAGAATAAAGAAAAAAATATATAAAGATGTATAAGATATCTTTTGTCAATTTTCGGAGAAATAATATACGCCCCTCTCTGAATGATTCTTCAATAAACAATTGTTCAAAAGTTAAGGAATATTGTGTTTCCAATCAAATCTGGAACTGTATTTAATCTATGGTATAATATGTGAAAGTCGTAGAAGATAATCGTAATCATATTCAGAAAGTTTAAGAGATCAGTATAACAGGACCCTGCTTTTTTTTTTTCAAAAGGTACATGTAAACTTTTGGGATTTTTTTTTATCAGAACATTTTTTATGGTATGCCTATCTAATTTTCCTGTTATGTGCCATATTTAATCTTTACTCATAAAGCATAATTATTGCTGATATAACTATATTCGTGTAAGGGTGGCCTCCTAAGGGAGTTGATTTTATCTTAGAATTGTGTAAAGAAGTTTAAAAAAACAACAACAAACAAACAAAAACAAACAAATCAAAAAACCTATCAACCCCCCCCCCCCCCCAAAAAAAAAAACAAACAAACCCAAAGTAGTCATTAATCTCCAAAGGTCTTTTTCGATCGTACAGAATCCTCATCTATATTGCTGTTATACACTATGGTATTTCTTTGCCAGTTTGAAACAATGTTGAGTTAAAAAGGTCTGTTGACATTCATAATAATTTCATAATTTATACAACAAAATTTATACAACAAAACCATATCAACCAGGAATAAATCTTAGTGTCAATTCGATTTAATGAAATGGCAATGTCAAGATACATCTGTTAGTTTCCTTTTTTTTAATAGCTGTCTTTTTTCTGCAAATGGACTGTTGAAAGCAATACAGCCTGATACAGGTACGAACTATCAAAGCCTAACCTCCTATACCTTTGGACAGATATATGAAAATAGGTTTTTTGGTGTTTTTTTTCAATCAAGTTCAAGGTCACCAGTTCAGTAATATTTGATTCTGTAGGATATAAATTAAACCCGTATCTTTTAAGAATTATTTCAAAAAAGATCCAGTTATATATATCGGATGCAGGGTAAAGTCGATTTCTGCCTCAAATGGAAAATGTACTATAAATATCAATGGATACATGATGAAAATCACACAGCAATACGAAAGATATGTTGATATAGTCGTTCGCTCAATGCGTACAAAGGAAACAATTTTTTTTATGGTAATTTAAATAAATCAATCAAGAAAAATTTCCTATTTTTAAGATTTCTTTGGATTGCTATAGTGAGGTTGGACCACCAATACTCTCCGACAACTTACCAGGGTTTCTATCTTAAGTTCTGATTGGATTAGGATCTTCCCAGTATCTGGCGGCTGGTCAACAATATTCTGCTGAAACATTCGTTGAAATTGTCCATTCACAGAATTACCATAAATCAAAAGCGCTAAGACAAACAAAAGAGACATTGTCAATGATTTTGGTCAACTCTTATTGTAATAGATTGCAAGTTTTCATAAATATCCAGTGAATGTCATTGATACACGTGTGAGACTGCATTAACGTGGTGTATTTTGACTGACTACCGGGTGCCTACCTTTGCTGACGAATTACGACCCCGGGGCAGGAGCCGTGATGTTTGATGACGTAACGGATACCTGTTGGGTTCAAAGGCCAGGAAGTATACGTGTATTAGGAGCAGGAAGTATGACAAGAAACTTACAAAACTTAAATAAAAGTGCAGAACATCATGGCTGCTTTTGAAACATCCACAGATATAACAAGTAAATGCAATTTAATAACAAAGTTCAATTTAAACTAGATATTTTTACGGTCATGTTTATGGTACAAATTAGAGTATTACTATATTAAAACACAATATAACAGATTTGATGTATCTACAGGTATGTCCCGAGACCATATATTTGCCAATGAATTTATCTCCTTTTTGTGTACAGCAAATATGCTTACGATTGTCTTTCATTATAAAATCTATGTTATCTTTTTCAAAATATTACGCTACATGTATTCCCTCGTTTTATTCGCAGAACAGGCAATGGTCACAGTAACCAACAGAGGGATTATGAAAAACTGTAATTTAAAAACGGCAATTAAGTTTGGTGTTAAACATTAATCCGGTTATTGTGTTCCTAGACTAAATTTCTGTAATGTTATATAGGCAGTTTATTTTAATTAGTATTAACAGTGGAATTACACGTTTTGTGTCCTAGGTTAAGATGTCACTTTCAATAGTTCTGATAGTCAGTTCGTTTTATCTGGATTTACCATCAATGTTTGAAATAATTGCAGGTAACAGTTTTTGAATTATCATATCGCAATTGTTTAAAGATTTTGTAATATACTATACTATACATGTATATCTAATTAGAAAAATATGAACATATGGCTATATTATATTGCATACTTATGACTTTTCAGACCAATTTTGTAAATATTAGATCTGTACTGGCTGTCTAACTTCACCTCAATAAACTACTAAAGAAGTGAAAAGATTTGAATGAATTTATTCAGAAAAGCAGACCATATTCTAACATATATTTAAGCAAAAGAATTATTTTTGGCTGCGAAATATACTACACCTCACAGGGTTTGTTCAAACAGACTAACGTGCATTGCCTTATTTCAGTATACAGGAATTTTGTCTGGATTTACGTTTCGGATTTCCTGGCTATACTTCTAAAAAAAACTTGACCAAAGAAAAAAGAACTGTTGAGTTTTTTCCCATCACTGAATCCCAAATACTCTATAATGCTAATTATATAAATTTTAATCGACAAATAAATTAAGAAAATTATAGAACCTATATCAAACGGTTAACAATTGGCCATGGAATACATATTCTAGGAATTAATATGTATTCAATAAGCAATATTGCAAAATTATATACATGTACATGTATATATAACGCAATTTTGGTCACAAAAACAAATGGTCGGAGACATTTGATTGTGTAAATTTGCCATTAAAAATTTAGTTACTGCAACCTATCATTACGAATGTTGTGTACAGTACTAATAAATATTTATATGTTTTTTATTTGTTAATGACATTCTATTAAAGTTTCAATCGGGGTTAATATTTATTTTTGTTTAGTTTTTTTAATGTTGTTTTAATTATTTTTTTTTTAAGAAGCTAGTTACATTTACTATATATATATAACAAGGACGATTCGTTAGTGGGTTAATTTTATTCCACTCTCTCTATTTTGGCATTAATTTTGTACTAGATTTAACAACTGTCTGGTCGATTGAATTAATCAAGGATACAAGCTTTCCTTTAGATTGAGATAATACTTCACACCGAACTTTAAACATTATAAGCAGATTAAATCCTCTTTTTTGCACGATTTGCCTCTCGGGTTCGTCCCTGGGAGGTTTTGTTGTCCAATCTTTTGTATAAATTTCGCAACATTATGCTTTCTCCTTATTTCGTTAAACTAATGTCATTAAAGCCATTGTTGTTCAGATTTTTGTAATTGATTTCCTGAGGAAACTCCCCCCAAATAGCATGCATTTTGTAAAATTTTCATGGTCAAAATTATTTGTTATAAAAAAAAAATCTTTAAAATAGCGTTCGATAAAAGGGGATATGACGAAATATTCATTCGATAGAAAATGTTAATTTTAAAAAGTTGTACTAAATGTTGGGTATACATGCATTTTTTACTATTGTTAATGAAGGAAACGGATTGTACATAAGTTTCCAGCAAATATAAATGATTCCGATTATTAAAATTACCAGATTGTCAAAAATGCATAAAAGAACAAGAAAGTTTTTTTTTTTTTAAAATAAATGACAAAAAAATAATCTTACATTATAATCAGTCTAAATTCAGCCTATTTTTATTTATTGTAGGCCTTGGTCTGTCTCTTGTCATGAGATAGCGACAGCTGATTTGAAAATGTAAACGGTTACCTCAGATAAAACTAAATTTAAAATAAAATCTGAATATATTGGAAATTTGATTTCAATAAACATGCATATAATCTGCACCAAAAACACTTAATTGATAAGAATAGGAACATTCCTACATTTAAAAAAATCTTTTATTAAATTTCAGGCAAAAAAAAAAAAATCTAAAAAATGTTATCTTTTCCCGTCAATTTTAACTGTTTTTCTACTTTAGTCATGTTTCAATTTTTAAATGTCATTACATTCAATCTGGCCTTGGGTGTTTTTGGTCTGTGTACTTTAAATCTCCAGTTCTTTTAATTTTGATAATTGATAGATTCTCCCCTTTTCTCTCAGTGCCGATAATTCAATATCAGTTGTCTAAACCATTCTAGAAGACTACTGAAGCCTTGGTGATAGTTTAAACATTTATACGTCTAAAAAAGATATTATCTGTTTATGTGTACCCTGTAACTAAACTTAACATTGATTTTGATCCTACTGTATTCGACTGGTGGAGAGGCTTAGAGACGTCTTAAGATGTTTGCTCTCGAGAACAAATGTCCGCTCAATGCCAGGTCGAGAATTATTTCATACCGATTCTTGGGGAATGCAGGAGAGTTCATAATTAAAATTTACTGTTCGGAGTACATGTACTAAATAAAAATAAAAATAATTTCAAGGTAGCACCAAACCATTTCCCTATACACTCAGAAATTTTGTACAGAAATACTAAAATTGATAACGCAGCAAGTCACTTGAATCAGAGACCTAAGATAACACGTGGTCTGTATTAAGCGTGGAACACAGTGAATTTTCAAGTCTGAATGATAATGCTGTGTCATCCTTGGATTTTTCTGTTCCTAATAGTCCGTAACTATGGAATTTCTCTGTTCCTAATAGTCTGTCTGTCAATATGGGTTTTTCTATTCCCAATAGTCTAAGTAATATTGGGGTTTCTCTATTTCCAATAGTCTAAGTCATATCGGGGTTTCTCTATTCCCAATAGTTTGTCACATTTGGGTTTTTCTATTCTCTTTTCTTTATTCCCAATAATTTAAGTCACATTTGGGTTTCTCTGTTCTCAATTGTCTTAAGCCACATTGGGGTTTCTCTTTTCCCAATAGTCTTTAGTCACATTTAAGTTTCTATAGTCTGCCACCCTGGACTTTCTTTGTTCCCAGTAGTCTAAGCCACATTGGGATCTCTCTGTTCCCAGTAGTCTAAGCCACATTGGGGTCTCTCTGTTCCCAGTAGTCTAAGCCACATTGGGATCTCTCTGTTCCCATAGTCTAAGCCGCATTGGGATCTCTCTGTTCCCAGTAGTCTAAGCCACATTAGGATCTCTCTGTTCCCAGTAGTCAAAACCACATGGGATTTCTCTGTTCCCAGTAGTCAAAGCCACATTGGGATCTCTCTGTTCCTAGTAGTCTAAGCCACATTGAGATTCCTCTGTTCCCAGTAGTCAAAGCCACATTGGGATCTCTCTGTTCCTAGTAGTCTAAGCCACATTGGGATTTCTCTGTCCCCAGTAGTCAAAGCCACATTGGGATCTCCCTGTTCCTAGTAGTCTAAGCCACATTGGAATCTCTCTGTCCCCAGTAGTCAAAGCCATACTGGGATCTCTCTGTCCCCAGTAGTCTAAGCAGCCACCGCCAGATTGGAATTTCTCTGTCCCCAGTAGTCTAAGACACCCTGAAATTTCTCTGTCCCCAATAGTCTAAGCCACATTGGGATCTCTTTGTTCCCAAAAGTCTAAATCACTCTGATATTTCTCACCTGGAAGTACCCTTAGTCTGTTCAATCTATCAAATTCATTATATAGATTGCCCAAATATCGTTGCATACTTTGAAAGGAACTAATAACAAAAAGTATAATCTGTAGTCCTTTAATTTTTGACATATTTAAGCGCATTAAACTTCTGATTAACTCTTAAATCCGCCATAGTTACCCTATATGGTATCCATTTAAAGCAGTAGCGAGTATAAACCTTTGTACATTTCAAAATTTCGTTATCTTGTTACATTGTTCCCAAAACTGTTTCACCCAATGTCCGAAATATTCAGTTTTATTTAACTTTTTTTCGGCAGTCTATCTTTTTAATCAATCTCTTGATTTCAATATACTTGCATATTCTTACAAATCTATTCTAACCAATGAATCAACGATACAAAATATGTATTCACTATTAAAGTAGGAAGGATGAGCAGTCGTGTTTTATATAGAACCTTTTTTAAGAATGAAAAATTATCAAAATGATACACTTTTAACAAGATTAAACGTTTACGCACTTTCTATTGTTTACTAAAGAAAATATTATTGAAATTCCGAGATTAATTCTCCAAAAACTCCGTACTAGAGTCTTTTGACGTTGGTCAAGAAAGTGAAACAAACAATGACTAAGTAAATAGTTCTACTTGTGCTTGTCATGGATTATCAATTTCAAACAATTCTGAACATTCACTTAGCTATCTTTGTTATTTTTATAACTTTCCTCGAGGAAGAAAAACTCAATAATGTTTTTTCACAGAAAGCAAAGAGACATACAAAAATACAAGAATTTGTCTGTCGTGTTTATAATACAAAAAGTATGATTTGCACGCGTCATTATGCAGTTTCTTTCGTCCTCTCCTTGGACAAGTCCTAATTCAGCTGCAATTAACTTCTTTTCAGAGAGAACAAATGAGCACACGTGGTAAGCAATTTAAAATGACTGCAAGTTAATCATAACCCACCACCTGGGTAGAATTATGAAATGGAAATGTAATTATATCTTAATAACCAATTTATCCATGAAAACGAGATATCAAACACCCGTTAAAGTTTAGCTAATTTTCAGTTATCATTTACGTCCTTCACTTGTAGAATTTTTCATCATATAATCTTTGTAGACACGAGTGTTCGCCCACAATGGTAAATGATTCGGATTAAATCCTGGTTCCAGAAATCTTTGGAAAATGTCGGATTCACATAAGCACTGGAATAAAGTGAAAAATGTTCAAAAGGTGTTCAGAAAGGATCCTAGCTCCGGGGCCAAAAAAAGCAAAAAGAAATCAGAGGACAAAAAGGTCAGTGTAGCTTTTTTTTTATTTGGTTGAATTTTTGAAAGCTCGTGGTTTTCAAGGAGGTATACATGTATTGGACAAAAATTTATATAAAAAAAATTTATATATATATAAAAAAAAACAAAAAAAAAACAACAACAACAACAACAAACTTATTCTGCTTTATCTAATGTTATGGTAGATAACATGCACCAAAATATTTTGAGAGCAATATACAAAGGGAATGTACAGTACTTTAAAATAAACGATAAAAGGTAAATATTATTATCACTTTCATTAATGAAATGATCGGTGGTGTCTTAAGAAAAATAATTTTACAAACTTCACCACCGATGCAAAGGCTTATTGAGAATAGGACTGAGTTCAGTTTGTAGTACAAGAAAATTCACTACAACTAAAAGTGGTATCCTATATGATTACATTATCATGTCAATTTAGAATTGCGTTCTGAAAGAAAACACAAATTGAATCAATAACTAACATTAAGAAATAACATACAATAAATTGATATAAAATATCAGAGTGAATTCTCAGATAAATCATCTTTATAGGAATCAATAATAAAGTTCTGGAAAGGGGGGAGGGGTTACAACAACTGTCCTGATAAATTTGAAATACCAACCTGTCTACATTTTGTATTGAAGATTATTGGAAATGTGTGAAAAATAAATGAATAGATAAAATAAAATGCTTTAAATACACTTTATGTAGTTCGGTCAAATATAATGGAAATTCTTTAAAAAAAAAAAATAAATAAACGTTTTAACCAAATCATTCTTATATACTGGTAAATGATTAATGTATCCCGGTTCAGAATCCGAAGAAGCTGGATTTTACTGGTGATAATATTCTGTAAGAACGGAAATATTATAAAAGAATTTGCTTCACACATTCAAATCACGCTATCGTTGGTAAAACCATTGTGTTCAAGTCATATTTCTCTTGGCAGCAAATTAAAATATGAATTCAATAATTTCAAAAATGGTGTTGGATAAAGAAATTATCTTGTACATCTATGAAGTGATGTGTGAAAATCAATCTTAATTAAGTTCGATCCCACAAAGTCTATTATGCTGTTTGTTCGACATGACAAGGTTATAAAATCATATCGTATTGAAGTTAACAAGAATGACAGCCATAATCTGATAACATTCAATTGTAAAGATGTACATACAAATTGAACATGAAAGCTGAAAAATTCTATTCATATGAACAAAACATGTACGTAAGATTTGAATCTTTGCAGAATCTGTTGTTTCACGCTTGCATGGCTTGTAGAAAAAAAATCATCTTGGCTTAAGAGAAAACATTAGTTTCGTATGCATATGTAAAATTAAAGAATCTACATATAAAAATATGACAAAGTTTCATATCTGCACTCTAAATTTTCTCCCTTTGGCAACAGTATCGAGTCTGTAGATAACTTTATGTCTGCGTTTTAGTTGTTTGTTACCATATAATTGTAGAGGAAATAGAAGATGAATGGATATAAACAAATCTGATTTGAACTTAGTACTCAGAAGTCTGGTTTGGATCGTTAAGATAGACTTTTAAAAAAGTGACATTTATGGAAAGAAAGGATTTCGGGGGAAAAAAAATATTTGATTACAATGCAACAGTTTTTTGTATACTGTTCAAATTTTGTTGAAAATGAATTTTTGCTCCTGTCGTAGAAGACTAAAAATCTGAAGATCTCAGTAAAGTAAATCGAAACAATGAATCATTAAAAACGAGTGAATACAACTCACAAATGACTCTTGAATGGCGACAAGACGAAACAAGCACAAATGAGAGACTGAGCACACATAGTACTTTAGAACCCCCTCCCCCCCTCTCTCTCTCTCTCTCTCTATGCGCATACCATAGAATAAAGCTTCTTAATTTGGATACACAACATTTCTGCGCATTATTTGATGTCATTTGTCAAACCTTAACACAGGTTGACCAGATTTTATATCACTTCTGTACGACTTGACTTTGTTCTCTGATGGTGAATCTGAAGGGAACCAAATATTTCCTAACCCTCTGTCTGCCTCCTCCATTTGGTTTTCTGGATATTTTTCTACTAGACACTTGCATATATTGATCATTTCGTTCCACTTCTTTGATTTTGGACGGAATCACCACCCATACCGGTAGAGGGCTCAGCATTGCTAACATAATACTCTCAGAATCCTTGTTACATTTGACAGGAGATATTTTGTCATCATTCAAAATCGTCAGAGTGAAGATGACCACAGGAGAAAAGTCACGATTTTTTTAATGCACATGCTTGATGCGATATACATGTAATATAGAAACTCAATATCTTAATTTTATCAGAATTACATGTACTTCAACTGTAGGAAGATTCCCAGAAAAAAAAATAATTGACTTATCTTAAATCATTAGAGTCTGAATAACACTTGAAATTGTAAAACTGAAATGTGAAATTTGGTAAAATGAATCTGATTGTCGCTGCTTAATGCAGCAATGAAGATATGAAGCGTTACGTGTATAGTATGTTTTAGCAGATACAATATCGACAGACATTAATGGCGTCCTGGTTACTTACCGTGTTTGGTAATATCTCTTGTTGTTAACAGCGGAGGCTGATTTTTGATAAATTTTGTGCGACACCTTCTATAATTAGCCAAATGGCCAATTGACCAAATGACCAATATCTTGGAAATGTTAACCTTTCATCCAGTAAACTCATTCTAGAGAATGTAATGTGTGAACTGAATGAATATATAAAAGTACAACCCTTGAATGGACTATCGTAAAAATAAAAAGAAAACAAGAGGTTAAAAAGCTTTCATTTTGAAGAACAAGGACGGAATTATTTTAAACTGGGGTTCAGCCAAATCAACCTTTTGTGCGGAGTAATTAAGATAATAGTTAACAATGCGAGAGGGAGGCTAAGAGGATATTTTGCGTAATTCTAATAAGGCAATGTATAGTACCTGGTGGAATAGTAAAAATTAGTTCTGACTTCTGTTCCATGCACACATATAGAAAAAGTGATTGTGGAAACACAGGTGCAACAAGGGCTATTTGGTTTATGAACAGGTGAAAAACAACACAATCATTGGAGAGGATTAAGTCTTGTATGGACGCCACTTAAACGGACAGTTCTCGTCTTAATGTTTAGTCTTTGGATCGTTGTCACTCAAAACCACTTTTTTCACAGGTAAATCGCGAGACAAGTGGTATTATGCTCATTAATATAATCGAGTAATAAACTTTATTGAGCATTATATAAAGTTTATAAATTTTACATCACTATAAGTTGATTTAGAAATACTTGAGAATATACATGAAGCTTTGTTAGTCAGTGTAGCTCTATTCCTCTTGGATATAACAATGACCACCCGCCGTGTTTCCACAGCTTTTGAGAATATGCAAAGGAGGGAGTCGATCCAGACACCCTCTACCCCCCGGAAACCCTCCCTGTTTGGTGAACCTAAGAAGTTACCGTCTGAGTCGGGGAGGCGACAATCATACGCCGCGGGGGAAAAACAATCAAGGAGAAAATCTACTGTACTGAATCCCAAAAAGCGGCATAAGGGAACTGAGCAGGTAATGACGTCATCATGATATGCTGTATATAGTTCCGAACAATTAAAAAAATTTCTGTAGAAAAGTAGATATCAAGCGGTCGAAGCATCTTCAAAGTATAAAGTCCGACAATAAAACAAGAAACACTTTTGTATTAATGACATTGTTACTAGGGATATTGTTTATAGTCTGTATATTAAATGGGTTAAGGCTGAAGAAACAACTATATAAACGGAAATATAGAGTTCTGTGACTCTCTTCAAAAGCAGAAAAATTCTCTCAGTTCTGATGATTCCATCTTCGTGATAAGCGCAGGGCTTGTATTGTAGAAAGAATCCTGGGAAATGAGTAACCGCGGGTGTAATGACGTCAATAAGTAAATGTATACTCTAAATGTCACATTGTAAGTCTAATATTTAGGGTTTTGGTGGAATTATGATTTTGAGCATAAATATGGGCACAAAGAAAAAATATATAATTTATACAATATATCATAACCAGTTTCGAGTGCGATATTGAATAAGTTTGTTGTGTAAATAACATCTGAAAGAAATAGAATTAATCTTTTGAAATAGCAAATTTTCTGAATCTTAATTATACATTGAATATTTCATCGCAGAATAATCTTTTCCGGTAATTCAGAAAACAGTTTGCCAAAATATTTGATTTCAAAACCAATGATAAACTTAAATGAATGAAACTTAAAACTTTCTTTTAATGTCGATGCATATCCATATGATTTTGATAATCTGTTATGAATGCGGTTTTATGTAAGCAGAATTATGGATATGAAAATATCACAAAGGTCCAGTCACATATGAAAGCTAAGATTAAGTACTTATAAATCTCCAAAATACATATATAAACAAGCATAAGTCCTCTCAATTTTCTTTCTGATTTTGTTTATTTATTTTCCGAATATATTCTTTGCAAATTATATTTTTGAATATTTACAAAATGTTTCGTTGTTAATGTATTCTTTTTTCCATAAATGTTTTAAAAACAATTCATTTTTTTTTCTTTTTAATGAACCACTTGAAGACATTGATCAGCGTCATGTTTAGTGTCATAATGACTCTGTATCAAAGCGGTGCGGCATGTTTAAGTGTCGGATTTTCTCTATATCATATCGAAGTTATCATGTAGCATGAATACTGCACCATATCGGTTCAGCATGTTCAAGTGTCAGAATGTATGTTTCAAATCGGTGCAGCATGTAAAATTGTCACAATTACTCTGTATCATATCGATACAGCAATTTTCAAGTGTCAGAGTGACTCTGTATCAAAGCGGTGCACCATGTTCAAATGTTATCTAATGACTCTGTATCATATCGGTCAGGGCTCGAAATAATTGATGGCCCGATGGTCTGGGACCAATGAATTTTCAATCTGGGCTAGTACATTGCAGAGGGCATGTGCCCTTTGGGTAATTAGCATTTTTTAATGCATAATAAAATTCATTCACATTCGGGCTAGTTAACTTGACAGGGTTGTGTGTCCCAACTTTTGCCGTTTCTTGTTTTGTTAAATTGTGCTTCTTAGTATCACAATATAAAAAAAAATTTACTATTATTATTATGGTTTGGGGCCAGTCTTTTTATAGTCTACTGGCCTAGTGGGACAGTGAAAGTACTCAGCTGACCAGTTGAAATTTAAGGCAATAGCCCGAGTGACTAGTAAACAAAAATAATTATTTCTAGCCCTGATCGGTGCAGCGTGTCTTAAAGGTGTCAAAATGACTCAGTTTCATTTCGGTGCAGCATGTTTAAGTGTATAAATGACCGTACAATATCGATGAAGAATTTTTTAAAGTAAGCACTCTCTTCGCATTAAGTATCACACAATATTAAGACTCAGCAGGGGAGATAAACATCTCCAATTTGTTTGTTTTGACTTAACAGAATACATTCAATCGCAGAAACTCTCATTGATCCTTTCAGTTTTGTCATAAGACCCATTCACTTATATACTGTTCCTCTTACCTCTGCTTTTAAAAGTGGATGTCTTGATAAATACTCTTGGTTCAGATCAATAAGGAATTCACCGACGAATTAAGTGGTCGATTTATAAACAATAGTTTGTCTATTCTACCTTTTTGTTGTCCTATTTGGCGCCACTTAAAGGTTTCTATTTACAAAGCTTAATTTTGTGCATTACTTTGTCATTCATTGACGGTACTTGATGTTGTTTTCTGACAACTGTCTGCTGTCTGGACCACGGTATCAATTCCTGGTCCTTGTTTTGTTTCAGTGGAAATAAATGGAGGCTGGAGGGAGATATAGTGACAAACGCAAAATGTTATTGGAATGTCAAGTGTAAATAGAGAGAAAGGGTTTATTATCTGACAGGCATAGATCAAATCTCTCTTGTTCACAAGACTTGTCCACATCATTGTTGTAGCTTTATGATAGAACACACCGAAATAAGAGTCGTCTTTATGACATAGAAGTTTACTCTTTGCCAGGGTTATACTCTGATGCTTCGACATCAATCTCTCATTCAGATGCAATCTTTTTGATGAATTTTATATCGTCATTCTGATGAAAAAAGCAAACTATTTTTGTATACATGCTAACCTTTGACTGTAATCGTATATAATATATGTATATAACTCATTCTAATGGATCCATTTGGTCACATTTTGAGACAAAGCCAAACATATAATTAAATATAACAAAATCTTAAAAAGAACATCAATATCACACCATGTATTTGGTGTTTTTCTTTCCGGAATTATTTTAATTTAATTAAAGGTAATAAAAAAATCTTCATTGTCATTACTTAAGCTACAATGAAAACTACATTGTGTTTTTGAAATGCTTCATATTATCATAGACGTATGTCCTTTCTTATACGTCTATGATATTATAAAAAAAAGGTTGGTGCTAACATTCTGTTAAAAAAATACTTTAATAAGTGTCTATATAGAATAACTAAAATTGTATAGAAAGACACTTAACAATTTTGGCTTTATTTTGAATTCTTAAATTTGCCCTGGCCTTCATATTTAATTTGAAGGACGATTTTTTAGTTTATATGTTCATTTCCTGTGAAATATCGTCCCAATATTGAGAACACTGGTTGCCTTGTCCATGAAATCAACACCTGTGCAACAGGTTGAGAAAGAGGGGGTGGTGCAATGTCATTGAATTTTTTTCACCCTTACTTCAATTGAAAAGTGCAAAGTCTGTGTTATTACTTAAGTTTCGTGTTTCCCTTTTAATTCCGTATAGAATTTGTAGACTTTACCGAGAAGATTTCATATTATTTATTATGTGTACTTTTATCGTAAAAAAAGATCTATTGAATGATTATCATTCACAAAAAAAACCATGTGTTTAGAAGTTCCCATTTTTCATCCTAATGAAAGGGAATCGGAATTAAATAACAAATTGTAATACAGTATTGTCGATGGGAAAATGAACAGCATATGTTTAAAGCTTTTTTTTTTTAAATGAATTTAAATGGATATTTCCGAATAAGTGTTGATTTTTTTATATGGGTCAAATTTACATTTGGTAAAAATTGATAAAAATTGAGACGTATCTATACAAATCATTATCCAACAGGCATAACATGGGATCGTGACGTTCCATTGAAGACTAATGAAGCTAACAGTGGCGGCTTTAATTTCATAAAAAGTGATCCAAATTCCTACCCTTTAAAGACTAATTAAACATACTGCTTTCTCACTTCAAGAGTTTTAAATGATGCTTTCTTGTTGTATATAGAGATTAACTGAGGAATTTTTAAATGCACGATTACAAGAACTAATCGCCTCTGATTTGCAACTGAAAAGAACTATGGTATAAAGTATATCTTAAAACGTCAAAGTACGTCGTTCTTTATAATTAAAATCACATCAAAACATGCTTATATTTAATTCTTTTCAAATGGTGCATTGCCATTTGTTTACACAAATTTGATCCTGTGCCTTTGGATTTAGACATTTTTCTATTGTATTGTGTAATTTTCAAAAGTTCCATAAGACAGTTTGGTAAACACACTAAGATATCATAATTAGTAATTTAAAGATCCCAAAGTCACTTTTCATCGGAAATTAAACGCCCTTTAGTCTATTGTATCTAACGCCATTATCGAATCACGGAGCCAATAAAGGCCAATCATTTAGAGGGTTCCCAATTTTAATACCGTAAACAAACAAGCATGGTCAGCCCCTAGCAAGAGTGGTCAACAAAACTTAGGACAGTGGACGGCCCGAGAACAAGGCTAGACAATAATAATTTTATGTTAATTGGTATTCATAAAAAGAAATTTTAGCAAAAATTGTATTGTAGATATATTCAATTCTTCCAATTAATTGAACTTTTGCTTCACGCTCGAAAAATAGTACGAGTAATCTGCATGAGTGGTTTTGCAGTGCTATTCATGTGACAATGACTGCCCCCCCCCTTTTCAAAAACAAAACTAAAATAGATAAATCAATCTAAAAAAAAATAAATAATGAAATAATTCACTTTCATCTAGACCAGAGATGCAGTAATTATTATTTACCATCTTGATCACTATCAATGTTGTCTTCAACAAAGCAATAACATATTGAAAAAAAAGATTTTTTAAAAATATTGTTAACACACACTTTGTTACACATTTAAGTATAAAAATTAGTATCTGAAGTAGTACTCACTTACGGTGCAAATATTTCTCACCGAATCTCATCTCAAATGGTCTTTGAAGGTTGGAGAATAGACAGCACTTTTGACTGTATTTTATATTCGGTGACTCTGTGACTCCCTTCGCCAGGCGCTCGGCACTTTAAAAGTGAAAGTTGCGGGTCCTTCGGATGAGACCTTAAAAACCGAGGCCCCGTGTCACAGCAGGCGTTGGCACGATAAAGATCCTTCACTGCTCAATGGTCCTGAGTGTCGAGTAAAGGTCAAAATTTGAAGCCCATCACCGGTGTATGGTGACGTCTCTATATGAGTGAAAAAATCCCGAATAGGACTACATACAATCAATCAACGATTCTGTGACTCAAGGTTCGACAATGATGTTTGAAATGTATTTTTATGAATTTATACATAAAGCGATAAAATGAGAGTCGACATTGGTCCACTATAATAGGTCTTCTTTTCTTCTCGAGAGAGCGAGGTCAACGGAGTTTGTTTAGGTTTTATGATTCTAGATCAAAGTAATTAAGGATGGCTATAAAACAATGTGGTCAGTCTTCATCTATAATCATAAAACATACCCGACGTCCATCGTGTTCGAACAAGGGAACTATATTCTCTGATTAAGTAGATCTATATGCATATCGTGTAATGGTAAGTAAAAAAAATTAATGTCTTTGACTTGAAGTTGATTAAAAATTAAGATTGAAATAAATTAATTTGTCCCTGAAACTGTTTAACAATTTGGCATCGCCGTAAAGTTGATGGGTTCAATTTGTTGTTCGATCACCTGGACTTTTAAATTAATGAAAAAGCGACATACGAAATTTGTCAAAAATAAAGCTCAAATGTCAGTCTGTTCATGTTGACACAATGCTTTTCCATCTTTAGAAGAACTTTTTACATATTCCCTTCCACCGATAGTTCTGCTGCATCATTGCGGAATTGTCTTTCATAAGAAATGCAGTATGATATTTCAGCATGGTTCGGGATTACCTATACAGATGAAAGATCATTCGCTCTGAGGAATTTAAATTCTGTTTTTACAAGCATCGATTATTTTACGAAGGCGCTTGTTATTCCCTAAAAACTGTTTAGTATTTGGATTACGTATGAACAAATTACCCCGAAGAGGGGAAAAAATCAAAGGGGTATAGTATTTAACGAAGGCCCGAAGGAAGTGAGAATTAGAGGCACAAGAGTATTTAAAACAGCTCTCAAAGGAGTTCATTGATTCTGTATTGGAGTATAAGGATATTACATCCGGTATATTTTTCACAAAATCTGGACCAAACTACCAGAAGGAATAGAGAGGGTTCTGTCATGTTGAACATGGGAATTCGATTTCACGGCGTCGAAGTTCCATGACTTTTGAAATGGCACTGTTATGTGTACAAGACTGATCTTACATTGGCAATGTAGTGAGTTAAATATGTGATATCCAAAATGACATCTCAATTTTCTCCACAGGCCGAAAATGACTCCATCAAAAAGACGGTGGTTGAGGAGGAGATTGATCCACAGGAAGCCTTCAGACAAGTCGTCCTCGACGGTAGGGGAACATGCACTTTTATCTTTTTGATTTATTTAATTTTCTTTTTTTAAAGATCCTATAGCGATTTTTATTCATCATTTGATCTTTCATTGGTGCCAAAAGTTTTACGAAACAAAGACTTAATTCAAACGAGACAAATCATACCATTAAAGAAGTTGGTTTTGCATCATATAGCCTAATGGTATCACAAGTTTATAAAAGACCAGTGTATCATGTATAATTACATGTACATGTATAATGATAGGGTTTCATAGTGAAAGTTAACAGCTTATTGGGGACTTAACAGCACACAGTTCAAAAGTGATAGTTCTGAACTTAACAATAAGAAGTACGTACATGTTACAAAGATTATTAGTCTTTGAAAGTATTGAAGAAGATGATTGAATGTCAAACTTGTACAACAAAGTGAGAGACTTTGAAGCACGTCACAGTGTTTCTTCAAGAGATTAAAATCGATTCTTGTTAAAAATAATCTCGACTCATAATAGAGCGAATTGACTTTTTTTGAGAACCATTGCTTGATATTGACCCAATAGATCTTTGGTATGTCTCTAAGGATTTCCTTGTTAGCCCTCATAAGGTGACAGAAACCCCTTACACAAATACATTGATCCGTTTTTTGGTGTCTTTGATAACGTAGTAACACCAATAGAGATAAAATTCTCAGTCAACTCATTACGTAGGTGCAGATAGGTAAAACAATTCAAGACTGGCGTTAAAATAATTCCATTCTCAGTTGGTAAATTCTACAAATTAGACTAGATTTCATTTCGTAATCTCCTTACACCTGATGCAAAATGCTATTCTGACAACAAAACTTACCTTTGTTATTATTTAAAAAAAATATCTATAAACAATACAGTATATGTTCATAAAACACCGGAATGCTATCGGTCATTTTGCCTGTAAATTTGTAATAGAATTTGTTTTAAATAAAAATAACGCCGATAAAGGTTATTTTCTGAAGAAACTCCTCACAACAATAAATTCTTTTTTTTTTAAAGAAAAAAAAAATTGAATGTGTGTCTTTAATAACATAGAACACCATCAAAAAGAGCATTCGCAATTAAAATTTATTACCTATAGGTGCAGACACATGTAGATAAAATATGCTATACTCCCCGTTACTTAGTTTTACATGGAAATTTATACTTTTTATATTCTATTATTTTGTTTTTGAAACTTCCAACGTATAACTCTTGAAGACAAAAAATTCCGTTTTCTTTTTACGGATGCAAAACGTCTTTCTGAATTGCAGAAGGACACATCTTTCCATGCATCTAATAAAATCATGTTCATAAAATCAGGGATAATACACGTAAAGTTTATGTAAAGTTAAAAGATTTTGTGAAAGGAGAAAAAAAAGAAGCCCCAAAGAAAACATGTTTTATATTTCCTGACAATTTAAAATCGAACATCATTCTTTCTACCTCAGTTAATATAATATTGAATAATCAGAAACGTCAATGGAAACATTCCCGTACACGAAATATATCGAAAATAAAATCGATTGGCTTCCTTTTACTTTTTGCTTCTACCCTTCTCTCTCTTCTATAAGAAATCCCCTTCATTCTTCTGACTCTAGGAAGATTACAGGGATCTCATTATTGATTTTACACGTATATTTTGTTCTTTTCTTTTTTGTGAACAGCCATCAAGACGGCTTTTGAATTGGTCACCGTTAACGGAGAAATCAACATCAATGTAGATAACATATTCCCCCTGATGAAAACCCTGGAACTGAACCCCAATGATGAACCCATCATGGATATGATCAGGACGGCTTGTATAGACAGTAAGTGGTCTATTTCTCTCATGGGGTCAGGACAACCCTTTATAATAAGTAATTAATTTGGCTTTTTCTATAATAATAATAACAATTTTGAATTTCATTCCTATAATCTACTAAAAATCATCTTGCTGAATTCAGGTCTATAAAGTCATTCAGTAAAATCCACAATTTTATACAAATAAAAAAAATGTTTATCATGTTTAAAAGAAAAAAAAGTTCCCATAACAATCGATTAGTGAGAGTTTTTAGTGTACATGCACTTGTTACATCCTCTGACACATCCTAGAAATAGTTCTTACTGCTCCAAATATTCATTGTTATTAAACCATCCTTGACATTCTGAAACATAATTCTCCGACTCAAAAATCTCACATGGAGGTCTCGTATCTGACATTATCTGACAAAAAAGAAAAAAATGATCACTTTAAAGTCAAGTATCGAAATAGCATTCTCAAAACATGTAAAGACGTGAATAGAATTAGTCTTTTACAAGCTATTCACTACAGGAAAGCTTATAGCTATTTAGAAGTCCCCCGCAATGACATTTAAATATCTCTTTATTTAATAAAGTTGATGATTTAATTCAAGATCTTATAATTTTTTGGTATTAAATGGTGCAATATATATAATTTTTTACGAATAAGACTAAAAAATTGTATTTCAAGAGAGGAAAATAAGCCCTCAGATTTTATGAAATATAAGAGCGACTTGATATGTACATACATGTATAGGTATAACGTCGTTTTTAAAAAGATTTTTTTAAAGATTTACTGGAAATATCGTTAAATTGATAGGCCCCCCACTCCCATGAGATTTGTGACATCGGTACAGAGAGATATTTAACAAATGTAACCAGATCGTACAGGTCATTTGATTAATATACGTGTATTATAGACGGATTGACAATTTAACATTTTGAAATACATTTACTAGTATTTCATTTTAATTCATTAAATGCATGATGTTCAAGAGCTGTAAAATGTAATTTACCTCAATATTCTAAAAATGGCAAGTCAAATATCCTGAAACACAAGGACAATTTGAAATTGGTACATTGCATACGATTTAATTTTATTAAAATATTTGGTAAAAATGTCTTTTAACAATTAGTTTTAGTGAACAGGAATGCTTCAACAAAAATATAAAAACAGCAATAGTGATGTTATTTTTTTTCTCGAATAAATGTTAAGTCATTCCGCAGTCTAGACAGGAACGTACTGGAAATTGAGTGTATAAAGGCGCTCCTTGTCAGGTTTTTTTTTGTTTTCTGCAATAATGTCATGTTATAAATTTTGAATTTACCGGGTGGCAGTAAATACAAAATCTACAATACGACGTTGTAAATTTTGTAATTAATACCACCCTGTAATTTCAAAATTTACATCATGACAGTAATATTCTTAGAATATATTCTGTATTATAACTCGAAGCAAAAATGAGTACCAGTTCTTTTTTTCTGATATTATGCTTATTTGTATGAAGTTAGATCTGTATTGTATTTAAAAAAATTTAAAATTAGAATTTTTTCATAATGTATGGATTTACAGAAACATATCAAAGTTAAACCTTCAGAAATGTGTTGCATTTTAAAGAAACTTAAAGTTAGATCTTTCTATTCTACAGCTTATGGAAACATCAGTGAGTTAGAGTGGGACGATAAGGTGATCGAGCAGCGAAGACAGGTGACGGGGGAGGAGTTTGAGGAAGATCTAAAGTCCGCCTTCAGTTTGATTGACAAGGATGCTGATGGCGTCATTACGACGACAGATATCTACGACCTGATGATGGGGTTAGGAGAAATGTTAACGGATGAGGAAATAGGGGAACTTATAAAGACAGCGGATCTAGACAACGATGGACAGATCAACTATAGGGGTATATCCAAATTCTACGTAACATCAAGAAAATCGCAGTTCTGAAGAGTATTGACTTGTAAAACAAATGAATTCAAAAAAGCAATAAACTATTGGTACATTTGCTATTTAAAAATTTAGCATCATTTTCATTTAGATTATTTTTATTTCATAAACAGATTTTAGAATATTTCTTCTCGGAGACACTGGTGAACCAATCGAAGAGCCGGTGCGAGAGGAACCAAAGAAAGAGGAAACGGTTGAGGAAAAGAAAGAAGGAGAGGAAGAAAAACAGGAAGAAAAGGAAGAGGGTGAGGAGGAAAAGAAAGAAGAAGAGAAAAAAGAGGAGCCTAAAAAGTCTGAATTAACTCCGGAAGAAAAAGCCAGGCGAGACAGGAGGATGAAGAGTATGTTGATGGGATACACAACGATCCTCAAAGTTGGTGAGGACAAGAAAAAAGAGGAGCAAAAGAAAGAAGAGGAGAGGAAGAAAGAAGAAGAGAGGAAAAAGGAGGAAGAAAGAAAAAAGGAAGAAGAAAAGAAAAGGGAAGAAGAAGAAAAAAGAAAAGCAGAAGAAAAGAGGAAAAAAGAGGAGGAAGAAGCTCGACGACGGGAGGAGGATGCAAAGAGGAGAAAAGAGGCGAGAGAAAGACGTGCTGCCGAGCTTCGAGGCGAAGTTAATGTAGACTCAAATACTGATTCAAACAGACCAGGTTCTGGGGTCATTTCAGTTACAGTTAAGCACCTAGAGTCCATAACAGAAATCGAAGATGACGAAGTAGATGCTGAATCGAGGCCGGTGTCAGGAAGGCGACCAACCTCGTCTCGCCCTGTGTCAGGAACACCCAGTGCCCGGAGTATACCAGAGGATGTCACAATCATTGACGATGAGTCGGAACACGAATTTGGGGAGTTTATGGATGATTTACCGTCTGGAAGAACGTCTTCAGCTAGGAGTCGTCTTCAGTCAGGAAAAAGTCGATTGTCGTCTGCTCGGAGCAGACTTGGTAGTATTCATGAAAGGACACTGGGTAGTTCTGCAGACATCAGTGATTTGAATTTGTCTGAAGAATTGGATAGCATGGCTCTTTCCGATGATGAAGAGCCGATAAAAAACAACAGGTTCACAGGCAGCATGAGCGATAGGCAAATCTACTATACTCAGAACTTTGACTCTCGTCATGGCTATTGTGAAATTGGAACTGAAGACGACTTGCAAAATGACGTGTCCGTGACGCAGTATAGTATTTATGAAACGGCACCGCTTTTCGTAAAGTACAATAATGGTTTCCCAATAAGACAACTACAGCGGTGTAAGTCAGCAAGTAAAATACAGACGATTAAAAGACTGGAACAGGGCATTCTGAAGCGACAAAATACAGAACCAACAATAGACATGAACGCAATTCGGGAAGCCAACGAAACATCGCGTCATCCTCCAATAAAAACAAACGCAAACGGCCAAGTGTGTTCTCATATAAACATGAACCTACTGATGACAACCGATCAAAAGGAAAATTTCTCTAGTTACAGCAGGAGTTTGAATAGAAGACCTAGAACCGCCCCTGTTTTAAGTTCTAGGATGAGGCAATCCATGAAAACACCGGAAGTGGACGAAAATAACAACGGACTCATGAACATTGTAGATTTATCCCAGTCTCTTCATAGAGAGGATATGGGATACCCTGAAAATCCGGACCTACCATTGAAACATTCCGGATATAAATCCGTGTGGCCGCTCGCTAGGGTGAAATCTGCAAGAAACAGTAAAATCAACAATGGCAAAAATATAGAATTGAACTCTATATCTCGGCGACTTGAACGAGTAGAAGTTCCCTATACTCGTCCCAAGTCTGCATTTGAATTAGCTAGTAACCAAAGACATTTTTATAATGGACAAACTTTTAGAAAAAATGGACATCAGTCCATTATAAATTTAGAATTGCCTTACTGCCAGCAAAACAATATAAAGAGAATGTCCAGGCTATCAAGAATAGCACACAATAAGCCTATGCGGGCATAGTCTAGTCAGCTGAAAGCATAAGTCAATCAATCTATTTAAAATATGTTCAATAATATGAAGTTTTGTTATATTAAATATTTTTACAACCAGTGTTTCTATTTACTTTTTTTTTTACAGGTAATTCAATGAAAAAACTTACTCTTTATTAGTATCAGTTTGACTCTTTTTTAGTGTAATACAAGGGGAAAAAATACCGGGTTTAATCTTATCTTTGTAGTTAGCACTTTTAATAACAGCTGAATTATATAGTGCAGTTTTTTTTTAACCTAACATGCTTTTTTTGAACTAATTAAACGTACATTTTAGAAATAAATATATTGTTACATGTATTAAGCAAAAGCGTAAAGAAAAAAATGTGAATTTTGCAATTTTATTAAAGATTTTATATCCGTATAAGCAGAATTTTTTGCGAGGATTCAATTTTGGCATTATTAGCGAATATGTTGAGATCTCTAAAATTACATATTGCTAACAATTCATTCAGCATTATGGAAGTATGGCTATCTTGCAGTATATCGTCAAATCGCTAAAATTGCGTCTCGCTAAAATTATATACAGATTTTTACGGCTAAATCGCTAAATTTGCGTCTCTCTAAAAATTCAACTTGTACGGTATTCCTGATTGATATTTTACTGTATATTTTACTGTACATTACTCTTTTTGCACAAATAATAGTCTAAATGCAATTAGGCATGTAATAAACTAAGTTTTCACAGCACGTTTTTCGAATAGAGTACTATTCCCGCTTAAAGGCATGCTTTTTGCCAAATTCCTGGAATTCCACAGTAATATTCCCCTGAATTGCTTTGATTGGCGTTCTGATCGGGATTTTTATATGGAAAATGCATTGCGTTTCAGAAACTCTCTTGTACTCATCAATAGATAGTCATACTGAAAGATGTTGGTACCATGTGTGCCTGTTTAGTATTCCCCATAAAATTTGCCTGTATTATGTTGCAACATGCCGTATCTCAGAAAGCACAAAAGTTTCTCAGACGAAATGTAGTTTGTACACTTTTGCTGTTCTGGATTAGTCTTAATTCAAGTACATGTATACAATGTATTTAGGGTCAAATAAAGTAGACCTGACCTTACTCAAAACATGTCAGTAACTTAGAAATTAAAATATATGTGGAAAGCACTGTAGATAGAACGGTGCTCAATTTAAAAAGGGTTCTTTGAAAACTTTGTTCATAACATGCCGAATTGCATTAATGTTGTTAACTGTGCAAAAGGGGGGGGGGTGTTAAATTCTTAGATACGATAAAAGCTTTAGGATTCTGTCATGATCGAAGCTGTCTAATCTAAATGAGCAAGGAAACTGGTATCACAGAAATCTCTAAGTTTTATGTTTAAAAAAACTAATAAATTATCTTGCAATTGCATAAAAATGCACAATCTCCTATGCAGAGTTGTCGTTCGTTCCTCTCTCAAACGCTGAATGAATGAGCCGATGGTAGAGAGTGAAAAATGCAGTGTCTGTACAAGAACGACAACCTCAAGGTCAGGACCAAAAGAACGACAACCTCAAGGTCAGGACCAAAAGAACGACAACCTCAAGGTCAGGACCAAAAGAACGACAACCTCAAGACCAGGCCTAGGGCCAAAAGAACGATAACCTCGAGACCAGGCATAGGGCCAAAAGATCGACAATCTCAAGACCAGGCCTAGGGCCAAAAGAACGACAACCTCAAGACCAGGCCTAGGGCCAAACGAACGACAACCTCAAGACCAGGCCTAGGGCCAAACGAACGACAACCTCGAGACCAGGCCTAGGGCCAAACGAACGACAACCTCGAACACTAATTGTCCTGAGAATGAGAAGAGTACAAAATAAGCACTGTACTTTCTAGAATAAGTATTATGTCGATTCTTTTGGGTGAAAGTATGCTAAATTATCTTTATTGTTTGACGTTTCCCTTCCTCAGATATTTCCACCTCCTATTCAATATCATCTGAGATCCATTCTTATATCACATCCAGCTTTTATTGAAATCTCACTGGCGTGATTCAATCTGCAGTCATCAAAATCCAAATGGGCAATAAAGGATAAAATTAATATACAAAAATTAAAGCACCCTTTATGAGAGTAGATATAATCTGTTCAGATCATGTCCCCCATGACAAGGTGTAAAAATTTTCCGCTCTAGAGCAACAGGACCAAAACTAGTCATATTCATATGCAACCATCCCCATGTTGTATAGATTCAAACCTCAAATCATGTGACACAACTGGGGCTAAGATGTAGACAAAATGGGGGGGGTCAAAGTTTTTACGAGGAAATATTTATTTTTACTTTTTTAGAAAAAAAAATCTTTTTAAGAAAACTCAGAGCCACAAGAAAGTAATTATAATTCAAGCATCGTCATATGCAGTGTAGATTTTAATCTTTTCAAATCATGCATGGTGCCCATTTAGTTTTTTCTATAATAATTCAAAACCAGCTGTCATCCTCCGCCAGCTATATTCCTGGCCATCACTAACAATGTTTTTATTTATCTTTTTTCTTCATGTGAGGTTCAAAATGAAAAATAAACCCCGAAAATTAAGGGTCTGTAATGTACGGAAACTTTTGAAACAGAATAAATTCTGGAATTAATTATGAACGTATACCCCCACCCCCTATAAAAAAAATATCAAAACATGAAAAGGGTCTATATATCCCGGAAACTGCAATCTTAACTGTTTACTTCTGTATAAATTTATATGTACCAGTATAAAGATAATAAAATTTTTAATTAATAATTTATTAATTTTAAAAGCTTTAAACTTACGATTGATCTACCCTTAAAGCTCCTGACATTAAGTCTTAGCAGAAGTGTTCACATATTCAATTTAAGCTAGACTACCTGCGCGTAGAAAGAAATTTCAGTTGGAGGGGAAGGCGGGGGCACACAACCAAAGTTTTTCAGGTTGGGGGCACTACCAAGCAAAAATTACTTGACAAGCAAAAAAAAAAAAAAATTAAAGTAGCTTTGTTTTCTTAAGTATACGATATACATGTATCGGCAAAATTATCCCCCCGCAGATTTTTTTATCCCAATAATTTTGCCGATATTAGATTACTATAGTAAACATAGATATTATATGCTTTTTCCCCCTCAATAAAAACGTCTGATGACCTTTTTTTTTTTTTTTTTTTTTTTTTTTTTTTTTTTTTTTTTGCTTGTCAAGGAATTTTTTGGGTGTTTTGTTTTGGTAGTTGATGACCTTTTTTTTTTTTACTTATCAGCAAATTTTTGGTAGTGCCCCCTCAACTGTCAACTCAAAATGTATGGCTGTGCCCCCCTCCCCCTCAAAACTTAATTTGCTTCCTACGGGCCTGATATGGGAGGAAATCGGTTGTCACTGGAAATCAAGAAATGCGAATTCCAGCAATCGGGATCGGTATTTCATTTATTCCAATATCCTTGGCGCCAAAACTTTGGGTGGAGTTTGACTTTGAAATTGGGTGCTTCAGTGTTTGTTAACAGAATTTGTTATGTGTAAGTTAGTACAAAGTATTCCTAAATGGAACTCCTGTAGAAAGAATGGAATAAGTACTCTGTTTACGTTTTATATGTAATCATGGAAATGGTATGATGGTTACGTTCAATCTCTGTTTATGTCCATTTGATTATCCGAGAAATCATGCTGCAGTCATAGGGACCGAGAGGTTTCAGGATGGTGTATTTTGCGTGTTGTGTGTTTTTCTATGTCTCTTAATATACTGATTATAATCGAAAATCTCTGAAATTTACAGTTTAGAAAAAATCGTATTTCAACAGTGTTCAATAAACATAAATAAAAAAAATATAGGGGTCAATTGACACTTCATGACTTGCAATCTTGGATTCCGCCTCGGTTCACTCTTGATTTTAATCAATATCTACATTTCCTACCAGTGTTATCTGAAATAACATGCTGCAGTCATATGATTTTTTGAAAGTGCAAATTTCAGCGATTTGCATTTTTTAAAAAAATTATATATAATTGGTGAATTTAAACGCACCCAGTTCAATAATACACCAGGTGGTGGTATGGACTGTAATAGAAAGAAGAAGAATATACAAATTACACTATCCTGAAATGAGCCCCTTTGGCTGCAGTAACTATATTTATCTAAATATGACATTTGTATGAACAATCGCTTAGAAATTAGTACATATTTTTACTGAATAGAAGAGATAAAAATTGTTCTCAAGGGTGGCGATCCATTTGAAAAAAAATAACTCTGTAACAAAACTGTATATTAAAGCTGTGTATCGTGAGGGGAAAAATATAGCAATATACTCTAATTTTAAGAACAAAAACATGGACATTATGTACTTTAGAAACTCTGAAAGTATCAAATTGACCCCCTTTGCATCATAATACATTGATGTATTAATTGTTACACTCCTAGTATGTATTTCTCCCTGTCTATGAGTTGGCTGCAATTAATGAAGCCCAATTAATATTATTTACTTGTGTTGGTTATCTATAGAGATGAACATACAACCCAAAAATAAGACAACTAATAACAGTAACTATTCTTGTTTAATTGTTACCAGTATATTATGTACAACTTAATGTCAATGTACCTCTTCATTCCTTAAATGTAATGGAACTGAGCCTGGAAAGGGCTCTATATCTATTGCTTTTAAGGAATGAAGAGGTTTGAGGATGTTCCACTTGGAGTCAACCATTTAAAATTGTAGGAACCATTGTTTGTCTATATATATGATATATTTTGATTAGTTTTAAGTTTACATGTTGAAAAAAATTGTAATATATGTTCTAGTTAGCAGGATTGTCCCTAAGATCCGGGGACCGGGGAATTTCCCCGCCTATAATGAGGTAATCCCCGGTTACTCTGGTATTCTCCTTCATCCCCCCTTAGAGGAGGAACCTCAGACCCCCTTGTACTTTTTTAATGTCCCCTGCTATTTTAATTCTTAGGGACAACCCTGAGTAAGTGTTGATGTTTTTTGCATTTCAACATCTATCCCTCTCAGTATAAAGATCACATGACTTAGATTTAATTTCGAAGGGTCTTTGTGAAATTTATCTTTCATTTTTAGATGTTTTTAAATGAGAATTGAATGTGAAATTGTAAA